CCCCCCCAAACCCAGCTATGCAATAACCAAGAAAAAGCAAAAAGAACAAAAAAAATAAAGCTTATTTAAATCAAGATACAAGAAAAGAATTACTTACCATGTCCAGTAAGAGCTTCTTGATTTCCAGGGTAAGGAGTGCTCACCTATAGACAAAGAAATCTATTAAAAATTATCCATACACATTTAACCAATGGAAATACATCACTTGCTGTGACTGAAAAGCCTGGAAAATTTGCATGCTATCACAGTAAATATTGTAGCAACACTCTGGGATTATCTCCAGTTTGACAAGGTCCAAGTATTAGCCAATGAAGCTTTTTCAGGATTGTGCTCTCTTTAACATGCAACATGCTTTCAGCAAGAGGGTAACAACATGCATTTTGGAGGCATCAGCAAATCCTCCTCTCAGTCATGCCAGTGAAGCATCAGAAAACTCATTCTCCAAGAACAATTCTGAATTTACATCACTGCATTTGAAAGCAGGATTTGTATTTTGACTGTAAGAGACTGTGTTTGTAGGTTTTTCATCAGATCACAGCTATGCCTTCTGTCTGATGTTGGCCTATGCTCCAGATGCATTGAGACCACAACTGGGAGGCAGAAGCTATTCTAGTTTATCCTGTTCTGACACCAGACACCTGTAACAGCGGGCATGCTACTTACCTCTACTGTCTGTCTTCAAAATAGGGACAGTGCAGGAATTAAAATGTGGCACAGTGCTTGGAAATGGACAAATCTTAGTACTAGCTAGTACTATTTATATGAATCTAAGCAAGCATATGAAAAAAAAAAAATGAGGGTGTTGCATCTGGCTAATCCTGAAGTATTAGCTCTTATAAATCTTACTCACATGGATAGCTCCATTAACTTCAGAAGTTCAGTTCACATGAGGATAACTTGTGGGATTCAGTCTGTAGTTCTTTATCGATATTCATTTATGTAGGCATGTACAGCAGACTTCTTATCTATAAACTTGGATAGGTTTAGGAGATTATTCACAAATGTAGGACAAATCTATCTAGCATACTCAGATGCACAAAGAGGTGTTTATGAGTACAGGTTTCTATTACTTGTGCACATAAAAGTTACTGCTACTATTCACTGGCTGTAACCTTCTTGAAAAGTGACTTTTTATTGTTACCTGAAATTCAGTTAAAATAGGCTTGTATTGTTTGAATCATTCCACAGAGAATCACAGGAGAGTTGAGGTTGGATGGCATCTCTGGAGATTGCTAGCCTACATCATGTTGCTCAGGGCCTTGTCTAGTCAGGTTTCAGAGATGAGGCTGATTAATCCCTATGTGATTATGGACATATGTTATTAATGTACGAGAATGTTGTGGGAATGGGAAGATTTAAGGGAGGAATTCAGAGATAAAAAGATGGTGCCTGGAGGTGGTAGGCCAAAACTGGGGAAATGTCAAATTACCATAGAGTAATGACTAATAATCATTAATTAACAGAAAGACCCATAAGTGTGGATACATCTTTCTTCCTCAGTAAGGGTAGGGTGATGATAAATATCAATGCATCTAGTGTAGTGTAAGTCAAGTGCTGTTTCTCTAAAATAAATAAAAAAGAACTGGAATGGAAATTGGAGGAGGGGGCACAATACTGTTTTGAGCTGTACTGTCTAACAGAAAAGTAGAACAGCCATACTGGACACCACACTATTCAGGGGAGGACCCTGGCTCTCAGAGGCAGAATCTTCTCCAAGTACCTAACACATGGCTTAAAAGTACTTCCAGGAGTGAACTCTGTTCACAATTCATTGTAGGATGTAATTTCTGTGATTCATTAAACAAAAGTTGCCTCAGGGTGTTCTGAAAATATAAAGCCCATCTCCTTTCTTTCCATACTATGTGTGAAATTGCAGGTCCTTTGAATGTAATGATGGCTTTGTCATGCCCTCTGGAAAGCAGGGGCAGAGCTTCACCTGCTGCCATTCTGGAGATAATAAATGTTTATATGTGAATAAGCTGCATTTGAGAGCCAAATAAAGAACATGATCTTTCTTTTCTGATGCATCTTTCATGCCGCAATGAAATACATAACAAGTCTTATTTTGGACAGGGAAATTGAGAACAGCTAAAGACATAAGAACATGGAAACAGTATTTACATATACATCTGAAAAATGGGTGTACATGTATGTATAAACATTCAGCTTCTCAAAGCAACTCTTAAAGTACGGAAACACAGGCTTTGAAAAGCATTAAAAGTGTTAGGACAACCAAGTAACCAAAGTGCTTTAAGCAAAAAGTTCTAGTGTTTCTAGTTCTGTTATATATTTTATGTATGGTTAATTTTGGGTATCTAAAGACTTAATACTCTGTTATCTTGAAGACTAGGTAAAACACATCTCTGGTGCAAAGCAGAAGGCAGGGGGAGAAAAGCTGCAAAGCTACTGTGGTTATGTATGTAGCTACTTTGGTTATGTATTATCATGGCCATGCATTTTGCTTAGAGCAGATTCTGTGTGTGACTCACTGGCATTTTGCAATGAGGTCTGGGAGGGACTGGGAAAACTGTCTATTGAAAACAAGAAGGGAAATTATTTTCATGAATACGTATAATACAGCATATAACACACCAAATAGATTTAATAGACATGATGGGACACAAGACATGACTGGAGACAAAAATGAGCACCTCCCGAGCCAAGAGCCCAGTTTGCTGCCTGGGAGCTTTCACAGGTCTTTCAGCGGGTCCCACTCTGTGTGGGGGCAAACCTCTTACATGTCAGTGACTCCATTAAGAGATTTTTTTCCTATGTACAGAAGCAAGGTCACGCACTGCTAACTGTGTTGCCTGAAACAAGTTTTGATGTTTCCTTCTGCAAACTGTTTCTAGAGCACATTTCTGCTACAGCAATGGACCAGCAACTGATCCCCAGTTGTACTTACTCCTTTGATATAAACTATACGTCCTGGAGGTCCAGGGGGCCCTGGGGGTCCAGGCAGGCCAGGAGGGCCCTGATAAGAGAAAGTAAAAGAAAGAAGATGTTAGACAGATCTTTTCATATGCAATACATCTGAGCCTACAGAAATAAGGTGAAGGGGGTCAGAGGACCCCATTTAACCACGAAGTTTTGTGTTAAATGGCTTGAGGGGAGACTGAGCATTCAGTTACAGGGACCAAGCTGTGAATTTTAATATTTAACCTAAAGCACTCTGTGGAGAGCAAAATGGTCTAAGATTATTCTTTCCAGTGGGAAAAACAAAACAAAACAAACCAAACCAGAAACCTTAAAGCACTAAAAATTGAAACTAAATTAAAGGCAGTGGATCTCTCATCCAAGGAAAATTAGGTATCCAAGACTGGTCTGGGATTCTCAAGACTGCTGAGATTCATATCTTTTCGAGCACCAGTCAGATAACTACATGCTAATTATCACCTTCAAGGAACCCTGCTAGACCAGAGGCATGACTGCCCTTTACAAAAGAAAATGCCCATTCTTTACTGTGTCATTTAAAAACTTGGCATCACGCCATGTCCATCTTTCACTCCACAACAATGCAAGCTTCTGTGAGGTGACACATGTCATCTCATTAATAATTAGAAATACATTAGATTTTATTTTCCTTGAGTACTCCAGGAAGGACTATTAGAACATGTAGTTTGTTTTGTTTGCTTGTTTGCTTTAATTTCCCAGCCTGATGTACTTCATCTAGTTATACTTGCTTTAATAGTTTTTTGTTCGGTTAGGGCAGACAATCCAGAAAATGAACCTTGACACCTTTGAAGATATGGAGGAAGGGAAAAACTACTTTAATATTTTCTGCCAGTGGCTAGTCATCTTTTCTGTCACTTTTTTTCCAATTAGACTTTGTCTGATTTGCCTGGTTTCACCTTCCAGCAACTAAATTTCTATTTATGTATTTCTCCAGAGGTGTAAGCGATGTTTAGTATCTGGTCTTTCCTTAGGTGAAGATACTTTGATATTTATCAATTCTTAGTCTCCCTGTTAGCTGGATAAAGCAGTATCATCATCTCAATCATATTTATTTTCCAGCTAGACAACATACTTGTGTTTTGCATAATTGCGTGCCCTGTATTTTATGTGCACACATACTTGTGTGCGGTATATATATATTTTTTTTAAACAAAATAGAACCAGGGGAGTTATACAACAGAATTTGTTTACAGAAAATGCACTACTGAAATACAGTGATATCGACTAAATCACCTCTTCCAATGCCTAGCTGATCCCCCTACCTTGTGATTTCTATGCTAAGACAGTGAAATAACCTTGCCTTTTTTTTCAGCATATCTCTGATGCAGATGAAATATTATTAGCTGCTGCTGTGGCATGGGTACCAATTTTTCTATCACAGATTGCTCCATGACATCAGAACAACCACACACTCTGCTATTGTGAAATTTACTGCTTATGCTCAACAGTGTTTGTGTTGTGTAGACCAGTCTTGATGTTTGCCTTGAGACCACTCCTATGAAGACTTTTCCTAAGAACAGACTAGCAGCATCAGGACCTTGGTTCATCACTTGCTGTTCCATAATTACAGGTTGTAGGTGGGCATGGATATGCAATTATCTATGCAGTGGTTGTTATTCTGGATACATGTACATAGCAACTAAAGGAGGTACCAGGTATTACCAAGTATCTCCTTGTTAGCAGAGAAGATGCAACTTCACTAAAATAATGCTTAAGTGCTGTTTGTGCCTGTGCTAGATAGCTAAGAGCCTATTGGAGAATCTTCACACCATGAGGGGTCATACTGATGGCTGAGTCAGGAAGTCTTTGATAAACAGAAAGAATTGGTTATCCCAGATAATTTGCTATTTGAACCAGCTATGCTAACAGTGAATCACACACATAACTTACACCTGGGAGCTGATACAACAATGTGTATCTGCAAGAACTGTCCAGATGGACCCAGAAGTTGATGTTTCAACGATTGTTACCGATAGGAAAAGTATCAGAAATGTACAATTATTTCTAGATCATTTCAGATTTTAGTCTTATCATTTTAAAGGAACTCATATAAATTGAACTTAAAGATTTTAACAGGATTTTTTTTTCCAACTAATTGCAAGAACTTACATTAAAGGCTTCACCTTGATCACCTTTCACACCTCTCAGTCCATTCAGTCCTGGACGGCCCTGAAATAAGTAGAAATAGTGTAATGTGTGTCAGAAGCAAGTTTGTCTATCTTTATTCCACTTGTGAGCATAATACATACTGGACGTCCTGGGAAACCAAGTTCTCCTTTAGGTCCAGTAGGTCCTATTGGTCCCTGGATAAAAAAGAAAATGTGATTATGGAGAATATATGGAACATATCTTTGATGTTTATTCAATTATTTAGAATAAAAGTCATAATTTTATATTTGTCTTTAAAATCAGTCTGTGATTGTCTTCAGAGAATGCACAGAATGTCCTCTTTATTTGCTCTGCTGAGTGATTTTCAGAAGCTGAGGCTTGCATATAACAGTCAACTCTGGTTTGGAAAAAGACTCGTTGCCTGAAAAGAAGTCTGAATTCTCAGCCACTTGTTGGGTGTGCAGTTCAAAACTGAGTCACCATGTATCAGGAGAATTAAATGTATCAATAAGTAGAAAAAAGTCAGTTAGTGATGTATGCTTTGCGCATCTCCTTTTTGTTTGCTTTGGTTTTCTAATTATTTTTGAATCAAGCCCTGTGAGACAATGTCTGTCGATCAGCCAGAGAATTCATGTAGTGCCAGGCTTCTACATGCCCCTTTCCAGCAAGTGACTGCAAAAAGAAAGGGCAAGCAGTCTGCCTGAGAAAAGTGGTGCAGGACTACAGATGATCTTTGATTGGGCATTTGCAAGCATGCAGCTTCTAGGCAGCCAACAAGCGAACAGCAAAAAAGCAGTAAACCTGAGAATACCACAAACTTCCATCTGCTGTCAGCTTCCTGAAACTTAACAAACCCACAAGGGTCTAGACAATCACTTTACATATGTATCAAACTTTCTGGTTTCATTTCCTTTTTTCAGTCTGGTGAAATGCTAAGAGATGTTCCTTCTTGCATTATTGGTTAAATAATCTGTCTATAGATCTCAGGCAGATACCACTGATAGATGACAACTGACATGTTTAATCCAGAGAAATCACAGTACTGTCAGTGGAATTATTGTAAGAGACTTTCTATTGCTACCTGCAATATGGTGGTTACCACACACCTACGCTGATGGAAGAAAGACATTGGCTGTTGCACTGCTTACCACGATTTCATCACATCACTTTAACAGTAGCAAACATTTGTTGGCATTGTGACTGCTACTTCAAAGGTTAACTAGCAAACAATCAAAAACCAAGAGGAAATCCTCATCTTGTCACTCACTTGCTCTTGATTATTAAGGAAAGTGGAGACTAAGAAGGAAGCAAGCCAGTGGCAGAACTGTCTCCTTATTTACAGTCCAGTTCTGTTGCGATGTTGTCTCTCAGTTCAAGGCATAGAGGGAGCACAGGCAAGTGAAGAGCTAGAAAGGTTGCAAGAAATAGCCTGTTTATACTTGAATGATTTCCATACTCGGAGTTTTGCATCTCACCTGATCAGCAGAATAGTCACATGGTAATACCATCTAGCTTCAAATAGCAGTCTCTTACCAATCCATTTTACAAATTAAAACTATTGCCATATTGATAGAATTTTCATTTAACAAAGCTTTTTGGTTTGGGGAGTGGCAAGTGCTTGCTTTTATGTAACATCATTTCATTGAAAAGCGATATACATTAATGGAAAATTTGTTTGATGATGATGATTTATCTTAGCATCAAGCTGATATTCATGGATTAATTGTTGTAATTTTTATCATGCTATAAATCAAGACTAGATTAGAGGTGAAATTCAGAAAATGGTTAATGTGAACGTATTGATTCATAACATCACCTTTGTAATCAGAATTTAAAGCTCACTAACAGCAACTGAAACTGTTTGAAGATGGTAGGACTTTTATTAAACTGTTTCATTTCCTGTTTGAAGGCAATTTCTGCTCTCATGATCGAAGCTAATGCCTGTGTCTAAAGCAGGTAACAGATTGCTGATAGACTCTGGCAGATGTGAACTTCAATATTGTGCCCCCAAGCTTTCAAAGTGATTCAACCCACCCTTCCGTGCTACCACATGCAATAATGGGGTTTTGAAAAAAAAAAAATTAAAAATCCAAAATGTTGTGGGGTATTTTACTATTGCACTTTCTGGCATTTGAGCCTTTGAACAATATGCAAATCTGAGCTCTACTGAGCAATGAAGATGATCAGAAACAGACTCTTTTATTAGTTTAAATAAAGAGAAGTGTCTGGATGTCATGCTTTAACTGGGACTTTAAATTAACATCAACAATGTGAGAGCTGACCATCCTGGAGCCACCTTTAGTATTTCCTCTATCAGACTGCCAGCCCACCCCTCAGAGATGTTAGTGACTCCTTGAGACAGAAGCCAGCAGTCACAGCTAGAACTGAAAGAAGGAAGTGAGGAAGCCACAAGAGACTGCTTACCAGAAAAGAAAATTTCATTTATAACAGCAGAGACTGACAATGTGGTTCTTACTAAGGGCTCCCATTCACCAGTGTGCAGTGGTCTGCTTCACTGACAATGAACAGCATAATCGAGCAGGTAAAAGATTCTCATTTCCCCTGTGGCAGGAGGCTGGACTCAGTCTGCCTTCTGCTTTTGCTATTAACAGTACTAGCCTCCTGACTACCCCTAGCTCTCATCTGCCAAACCACTACTTCTCTGTAACTCCCTGTGCTCCAGGCTCCCATGATCCTCTCTTCTGTCCAGCTGAAGTTTCGAAAAGGAGGGGAGGAATGAGTAAGGAATTTTTTTGTAGCTTCTGGTAACTTGTGTGTGAGTTCAGTGTGCCCTAACAGTACAGAAAAATGATCAGAGCCTCCAGCTAACTCAAAGCTGTTCTTGGGCTGGAGTCTTACTTTGTGCAAAGTGGAAAAGAACAATCATAATGAAAACTTTGATAAGTTATGCTGCAAAGACTCTGGCCCAGTACTCTGAAGTCTGTATTTTTTGCTGCTCAGGACTCCCACCGAATTACAAAGGGATTTTTTCTATGGGACAACGTCAAAATGAATCGTCCACTTTAGCAGTAATGATCAAACTGGAGTTCTGCACCACAAAGAGGAACCGGCTGAGCAAAGTCTTGAGGCAGGTTCTGTGTGCCAAATTCTCCTTCATCATTCACACCGGTACTGGCAAAGAGCTTCCTCTGAATGTTCTTGTCTGCATGCTGAACTGTATGAAGTATTGCGTGTCAGTACAAAAGAAGATGTAAACAGAGTTCAGGGCTGAGAGAAAAAGAACATATCCTGAAGGGTGCACAGCAATAGGATGAGAGTCAATGAAAACAAGCTAGAACACGAGAAACTCTGAATAAGTATAAGGAAAAACTTCTTTTACCCCAAAGGTTGTCAAATACTGGAATGTGCTGCCCGGAGAGGCTGTGGAATCTTTATCCTAAGAGATGTTGAAGATTCAACTGGACAAGTCCCTGAGCTGAACAGACCTGCTTTGGGAAGTGGTGTGGACTAGATGATCTCTGAAGTTCACTTACATTCCAAATTATTCTGTGAATCCAGAAGTAAAAGGATAGATTCATCCTGCAGTTGTATGAGGAGGAGAAAAGGAAATCCCCTTCTGGTAAATTAGGATAGTCCCCTCTGATGTGTGTATTCTGATACACAGTAATTAAGAAAGCAGTTGCTCAGCACACCCATTTAATCCCTTTTAAAGACCATGGAAACTAACGGCAAAATCTCTTACACACCTTGGTGTGTGACAGAGACCAGGCTAAGTCAAAAGAAGAAGCAAAGAAACACTGAATATCCTTGATCTTTAGAATACTAGACCAGAAGAAATTAATTCCTGCCCTAACACTATTGAGTGTGGGAAACTGTTTTCATTTTATAACTAATTTCTTGTGCTTTCATACAACATTCTGTGTCCAGTCAAAAATATCAGGCCAAGTGCCTGAAAGGCCTCTCATTCCTGATTTCAGTAAATGGTCTGACTGCTGCGTGATTTGCAGCTTCTTCAGAATCCAAGGCAGTTTCAAATTACTGGCACTGACAGAAATTGAGCCTGATGCAGTCAGTTGCTTTAACGTAAATCACAGAAATAGAGAATAATTTAGGTTCAAAGGTACCTTTAAAGATCATCTAGACCAACCTCTTGCTCAAAGCAAGACAAGCTTCCAAGTTAGGTCATGTTGCTCAGACCTTGTTCCACAATTCACCATCTCTCTGAGCACCTATTTCTGTGTTGAACCACTTCTGCTGTGATTTTTTTTCTTTATATCTAATTGATATTAGATTTTATTATTATACTTATTATTCTATACAATATTATTATATATAGTATATATTATTGCATTATTATATATAATATACAATAACTATATATTATTATATATTACTATATATAATAATACTATAATATTATTATGTATTATATATAGTTATATATATTATTATTAGATATTATGTTCCTTTGCCTGAACTTGTGATCAGTGGCACTCCTCTTTTTCTTGTGCACCTCTGAGAAGGACCTTAGTTCGATAATTCCCTTTCAGGCAGTGGCAGGGAACAAATATAGCCACTCTCAGCCTTTTATCTTCAGGGCTAAACAAACCCAGTTCACTCAGAGCCATAAGTTATGTAAGTTTCTAGTGCTGATGATATTTCACCGTCTATTTAGATAGTAATGGATACATTTGTGCTACCAGAATTTAAATTCTGAATCAAGGCAGTAGTTTACAGCACCACATATGTAACAACCACATTCTTTTCTGAAGGACATTGATCATCCTGAAGCATGAATATGCATTATCATCCCTACCCAGAAGAAATGAAAAGCTATATTTAGCTATATTTATATTTACCATTATCTGTAAAACCAAAGCAAAAAGAAAAAAAAGAACCCACTCATCTTTGGAAATATCTTACCACTGGTCCCACTGGTCCCACCACTCCAGCTTCACCCTGTTGAGGACAGACATACATAGAGTAATGACAAGGAGAACTTCTGCAGTATCTAGCAGATGTGGCTGGTAGCAAGGCCACCAAACATTCTGGAGGAACCCAACACAGTATTAGCTCACCTTCTCCCCTTTTCTTCCTAATAATTCAGGTAAAGATCCATCAGCAGTAATGATAGCTCCTGGTTCTCCCTTTTCACCCTGCAATTATCAAAGTTATTTTATAGTGTTTACAAAGCAGATCTCAATGAATCAAAGCAGCATTATTGTTGTTTGAAGCATGACAAATTAGCCATGCTGCGATATCAAACAAAGTGATATCAATGTCAGTAGGGTGAAGCCTGATTCTTGGAGAGATAAGGGCTGAGCTTTCTTACAACATAGTAAAGTTCACTAAAAACATCCTGCTCCTGTAAATTTCCCTGAAATAAATGAATACTTATTTTTTTAAAAAGATTTAATTGTTTTCAATGGGGTAACTATGTGAAACATGGTGTGTTCACACCATGTTCTGTCAAAGGCAGACAGGTTAGTGGTGTCTTCTTTTGTACCAGCAGCTTAGACAGTGATCAGGAAATCCTGCTGGAAGTGTAGAATCTTGGTAGAACACTAAGTGTCCTGATTTTACTATCAGGAAAGCATGAATTGTTCTCTCTATATGCCTGGCATGTTGCAGCCTCATTACCTTTAAAGAAGGCCAGTTCCTAGCATTTAAATTATGACCCTCTGCATTCCACTTGTTCAAGGGGTAATTCCACTGAATAATGGCAGCACAAGCATGAATTACCATTCCCCAGTGCCAGCTCATGATTCCCACTCTGGATCTTTCAGCTGTAACTTTCCTCCTCCTAGCTCAGACAGCTTGGTACAATAGCTTTCCCAAGATCTCGAATGGAAGAAATCTGGCTTGAAACCAACAATTGCATTGCTAATTAAAATGACAGCCCAAGTTAAAATGAACTTCCACTGAGCAGGACATACTATAACTCAGTTCCTCTTGCAGGTTCTTGAGTCTTTGGACTCTCCTTGAGGATACTTTGGAGTCTCCCTATGGCTTGGTTTCACTGACTTTATCTTCTGTGATTTTATGGACCTGAGGTTGCAACAGAAACATCTCACGATCTTTAAAAAAAAAAAAATGCTCCTAGGTGTCTGTACAGCTTCACTGTGGTTCCCAACTTCATCACTCCTGAGCATAACCTGGTGTTCATACCTCAGAAACACCACTATGTTATTGGTGGGTACAAAATATAATGGCTTCAGTTTTGTGTTCCTTCCAGCGTGAACTGCAGAAGCCAAAATAACCAGCCCCAAACACAAAAACCCCACAACCCAAACCAAAACCCACCCAACTGGTTTTAAGGTTGAGCTTGATAATTTTATGCACTCTAGAAGAACAGGAATCCTTATGACAAAAGAGAACTGGTGTTTGCGGCCTGGGATGTTTCCTTCTGAGCAATGAAGATGCTGTTCACCAACAATCCTGTTTCAAACCATAATTAACCATTTCCAAGCCTTCCTATTACTTGTGAGAAGGTGAGGTCATCTACTTACAAAGAATAAGCAGAAAGTGGTTTTGTTTTACTTTTTGTTATCCCCAAGATTGTAATAACTTAGATGTTCCTCTCCCCTGCTTCCTGCAGGTGGATGAGAAGGGGAAGAAACACAAAATAACAGCTGCAGTATCTAAAAAATAGAAGAGTTAGTCCTTGGTCACCTCTCAGCAGTGCTAAAAAATAAACACTGTTTTGCCCAGATAAGAGAAAGGATCCTAAAGAGAGAGCTTCTCAAGCCTTATACTTTATTTGGGAATGGAAAACGGCAGTCTTCATTCTGTAGGCAAAGCTCACTGTGCCAAAGGAGGAGGAAAAGATTAATCTTTTTTCATTTGGCCTTGTGGTTAGGATCCCAGGGTGTCAGCGCAGACAATCAACTTGCAAGAATAGGTCACCTCATGTTTAATCTTTATGCAAACTAATTCTGATAAGTGCATACTGCACTGCAAAATTTCAACATGGGGGAAGGAACACTAGCTCTCAGTAGTTTTATATCAAGGTATTTTGTTTAGCACTCTTTCAATTTCCACTTAGTAAAATTTTCACATGAACTTATTAACATCCCAATCCCTAGTAAAATGAGAACCCTTAAACTTTTAATGTCAGTAAGTATTTGTCATCTAGCACATTTTGCAGCATGTAGTTTTCCTTATACATTTTCTCCTACCTGTTGTCCTTTAAGTCCTTGTGATCCAGGCAAACCAGTATCACCTTTCGGTCCCCGAGGGCCCTAAGCAAAAACAAGTACATAAACCCAAGGTGAGATCTGCTAAGCATATGGAACTAGCCCATTTTACAAAGTGTAATTTTAAATAACTGGAAAACTTGACCTCGAATCACTGTGGTTGCAATCTAAGAAGTCTTAAAAGACTAAACTTCTTTCTGAGTCAAAGTATTCCCTAAAACAAATATCATGTAGTGAGAATCTGTTAAAAAATCCCCGAACAAGACACCCCCACCCCCACTGTTTATCACAGTGTAGATGATATACAGAGAGAAATATGCAAACATTAATAAGAATGGAAATTCAGGCTAAAATTTTGTTTCCTCACTACTCGATTCTCCCTCCATGATCACTCAGCCAGACTGAATGATTTTCAACAGAATTTCTGAAGCTATATTTTCACTTAAGGGTTTTTTTAATCTGAAATAGAGACTATATATTTGAAAATGAGATAATTTCTCTAGCTGTTCTGTGGCGCAAGCATGCCACTCAGGTCATATTTTTTTTACAATCTTCCCTTGTAAGTGCATTTGAAGCATTTTTTTTTACCCACCAAGAATTAAATTAAAATCTACTTGATTTCTCTATTAGTGAAGAGATAGAAGAGACCTGAGGTAAGAATGAGAATGGTATTTTCATGTCTGTAGAAAGTCTGTAAATGACAGAGACTAAGAATTCATTATATCACTTTCTAAATGTCATCAGCTCTTTTTCAAATGAAAAGTATTTTAAAGGAGGTTTTATCCCCTTTCTTTGGCTTCTATGCAGTCCATAATACCCAGGACTTAGTAAACAACCTTCTGTAGAATTTTGGGCAATTTGCCAGCATTTTGTCAACATCATTTTTCAGCTTTCCCAGTTTTCTCCTTAGTTATTCTCAGGCAATAGGCAAAGGATCCTGAGACAATATGCACGCATCTGAACTGTAAAACAATCATAACAAGGGAAAATCTATCACATTATATAGAATATAAATATAGTAGTATAAACAATACTATATGAAGTCACAAGCCAGATAATGTTTAGATGGTGTGGTAGCCTGAGCACAATAGGTAGGTAGCATAGTGTAAGGCACCTTTTGATACTATGTCTGTGCAATGCTTTCATGGTGGCACTGGTATGTTATAAAAAATAATAAACATTTCCCAAAGGATAAAACAAAAAGGGTACACTTCTTTACTGTATTCTGTAGTGGTGACAAAAGAGGCCTAAAGAATTACATATACATATCAAGATAACTTTTGGAGGTCCATTTGTTTCTCCTGGCATAGGTCTTTTTCTTAAGTAGTATTTTTTTATCAGAGTCAATTACATTTATATTTAAACTACAGAACTGATTCTGAGATAAGCAGAAATACAAGATGTGAACATCACAGTATACTTCATTTCTGGCAAAGTTAATTTCTACCATAGTTGTTGATTCCATAAAGACCTACAGTCATCCGTGTGAAAATTTCTTAGACTTTGTGTAAATTCTGTACAATATAAATTTATAAAATATTAAACTATTGTGAAAAATATTTATTTAATCCAAGGAACATAATACTTACAGGAAATCCTGGTAGACCTGGCTTGCCTTCTGGCCCCTGCAAAATGCAAAAACCCCACTCCTTTACAAACGCGTATTGCAGACTTGCAAAACAGAGTATGCATTTTCCACGTATTGCATTATTTGTGAATATTAATTGATCTGAAACTGAATTAAGAATTTAATATCTGTTGTTGTCTCATTAAATCTCCAGCTTTTCATCCACAGCTATAATCGCTGTGAGACTAAACTCACACACAGGAGCCTAGCATTCCTAGTTGCAGTCTCAAGCAGAACCAAGCAAAATGGTTTATCCTAACATTTTATAACTTGAAAAACAAGAACAGAAAAAAAAAAGGAATAAATACGATGCAAATCTTAGTTCCTATTTTTGTATCAGTTCCACATTTCTGTCATTCTGAACATATAGTTCAGATTCAGGGCTAAGCCAATTCTTTTCTTTCGTACAAACATGTAAAACCAATTCATTCACACAGAATTCAGTTCTGCCCTGGAGTATTTCCAGAGCTTAGTGCTGAAGTTAGAAGGACCAAAATTCTAAAGCACAGGAAACAGCTCTAGCTGATACTTAAAAGGAGACACTGAAGATAGAGCAAATAGGAAGATTTGGTAAAGCAGCTTATACTCACTGGAGGCCCAAGCAGTCCTTTAATTCCAGTAAAGTTAAAAATTCCATCTGTATCATTGAGTAGTAGCTAAAAGAGTGGTTAAGGAACAGGTTATTTCAAGCACCAAACTGATTACCTAGGGCACACATACATTTTTAGAAATGTATAGATAGTTAAAGCATCCCTTTATAACTATAGAGAGGAAACCACAAATAAGGCCACAGAAAAGACTTGCTACTTCACATTTTTGTTATACATCTGGAATAACAAAACCTAGCTTTTTTTTTTTTTTACACTTTCTATGTGAGGATCTCAAAATGCTTTCAAAATTTTTATTAAGTCTCTCATTTTTAATTTGAAAACTATGACACCAAATGTTGCAGCCTGAAGTAATTTCTCCTCAGAGACATAAAGATCAAAATGAATGTTTTATACTCCCATATGTCGGTGGCATTCTAAAATGGTGACTCTGCCTGAACACACTCATCCTGTTGTAGAGTTGAAGTTATAATTATACTTTGGGCATGTCTGTATCACACCATGCAGTTATTCCTAAATCAGCTCTGATCATGCTGCTGTATCTACAATCAATGAAGCCAGCTTGGATTCCCAAAACAGTAGAGTCACTTGAATGTGGAGCAGCACCTAAGCTAATCAGCTCCAAGTCTCAAGCAGCCTGAACAGAGCAGTGTAATAGCAATGCTGTTATACTGCTTCCTCTCCTGGAATTAAGGAGTTCGGCACTAGCTCAGGCATTTCTGCGTAATTTGATCACAGAATCAGAATAACCAAGGTGTACATGGACCTTTGGACATAATCTGGTCCAACCCCCTCCTCAATGCAGATCTAATTGGATACAGGTTGCTCAGGGACTTGTCCAGTTACGTCTTGAATATTTCCGAGGATGGAAATGCCACAATTGTTCTGGGTAGCTGGTTCCAGTATTTGAGTATTGTCAGGGTAAAAAGTTTTTGATTCTATGTAACTGGAATTTCCCGCATACCAACTTGTGTCTGTTACGTCTTATAGTACTGCCATACACCCCCAAGAAAGGGGTGCTTCCATATTCTCTGTATCCTCTGATTGGGTAGTTGCAGACAGCAACAAATTCTTTCCTTCGCCTTTTCTCCTCCAGGCTGAACAGACCCTGTTCTCTCGGTGCTCCAGTCCCCTGATCATCTTGGCAGCCCTGCATGCCCCATGATCCATTTTGTCAGTATCTTTCTTATATTGGGGATCTCGCAGCTGGACACAGTACTCCAAAAGCAGTCTTATGACATGCCAGCCACAGATTTCTAAGCCAATTTTCCACCTATTTTATCATCTGCCTATCCACTTTATTGGCCATCAGTTTGGTGATAGCATAGACTATGGGAGGCTGCATTGGGAGCCTTGCTAAATTCAGGGTGTACAACATCCAGTGCACATCCCTTGTCCATAGACAAGTAATCATTTTGGTCAGGAATGAATAGCTGTTAGTAAATCCATGTTGGTCGCTTCCACTCAGATTCTTGTACCGATGTTATGATTAAGCTTTCATTTTGGTTGCAGATAGCTAACAGGTGCCAGGGCTTCACCTAGCACATGAATAAGCATGTTGTCACTGAGGTAGTGTGAAATCTGAATGCCTCTTCTGCTTGTAACCAAGTGCAGATCGATGCTATCAGATTGCAATCTTTTGCAACTTTTGTTATGAGTACAGTACATGGAACTAAGTTTGAAGCTACCCCTGCTTTGACTAGGAGGTTTGACCGTATGGCTTCCAGAGATCTCTTCCAATTATTTTATGAATATCCAAATAGTATTTTTCTAATCTGGGATGTGAAGGACGACACAAAAAAGGACAGACCTGCTTGGTCACATCACATATCTTATCCTATCTTATCCAACATCATCTGGGCGTGGCAGTGTACGGTCAACTTTCTGTACTTTGAGGTCATATTAGCATCATGATCCATGCTGCTAAAGCTTGTTGCTTTTACTGGGTGCTGCTACCTGCTCCCTGTCCTCATGTTTCACAAAAACCACTGGAAAATTACAAAATAAAAAGACAGTTTAAGTCCTGCAGGCAGCACTCCATCTCCCAGTCTGCAGGAGCTCTCTGCTGCATTGCTCCAGGGTTAGCATGGTGCTGTTGGTCCCACTCTATTCCCAGCTCTCTATGGCCCAGAAAGGAAACAGGACATGAGCTGTTACTTTAATGACAGTAATAAAAAGAGTCTTGTTGCTGTAATTGTTCTGCTTTATCTACAGCTGGTGGCAGAAATCCAGGAACCCTGGGTTTACATTGTCTTTTCATTGTGGAATTACTCAGTATTCATTCTTTTTGGGCTCAGTCCAAACTGTATTGATGTCAGTGGAAAGAATCCCAAAGGCTTTGCTGAGCTTGGGATCAGGCACTTTGTGTATTTTATAAATAGAGTTTAGCTGCAAATGGAATTTTTGGTTGGAAGTCAGAAAACTGTACATAATGCTGATGAAGATCTGAAAATAGAGAGTACAAGGATAATGAGTAGAGAAAAGATTGCACTCTTCACAACCTGATTCAGGTATACAGTTATTTATCTTCCTTTTTGGATGTGCAAGCAGCTTTAATAGAAACAATCCAGCAATGTAACTTTTCAACACATCAAATCAGTTCAGAAAGTGCTGAATACAAAGTAAGGACATTGTTTTTCACATATTCTTCACTGTTATGAAGAGGAAGAAACAGTAGTTTTTAGTGCGATTGTCTGGGTTGTGTTCTAAGTGAACTTTCAGCTTTGTATCCAAATGGCATTAATATGCCCTTATTATAGTGACAGAAAACATAGGAAACACAAAATCTTGACATTTACTTTACACTCCCAACATTAACCTTTCTTCAGGCCTTTAATTCAGTTCTTGTACCTAAACTATGGATGAATAATGGCAGCGATAATTGTTTAAAAGCTTTAAATTTAAATCCAGTAAAATTTCTCTATTCAAAATTATTTCTGTAGTGTATCTAACTAGATTGGAGAGATAAAATCGCAGTGATTAATATGGTTTACTGGTTATCATGACCCCATGCATGAAGATGCACTATGTATCAGAGATTATTGTCCAAAAAAGCAAAATAGGCAATAAAGAGTGAGGAATATTGATTTTAGTATTTTGGAGTATCGAACAGCAGCAAACTGAGAGACACTGTATTTTAAACAGGACAGTTCAGAGCAAACTTCATGCCTGAGAGCAGGAAGCAACAGAGGCAGCAGAAAGGACTGCAAGCCTCCAAGACCCGTCCGTGGTGTTTGGCAGGTACTGCAGAAGCCTGGAAATGGTTGTGTTCCACTGCAGACCTCAGGTTTGTCTTACCATGTCTTTTCACAGTGTTACAAGTGGCTCCTGATGGAATCGAATCCCTACAGTTCACATAGGGACCAGGTTAAATGAGGAGGAAACCAAGGTCCACTTTTCAGTGCAGTTCAATCAATGTGCTATTGGCTGAAGCCTGGCCCTGAGCCACAGCTGTCCAAATCAGATCTCAACATTTCAATAATACTGAAACTGCACCAGCTCTTTAACTTGTTTTATTTTGATCAAGCAGCAGAAACTCTGTTTAGTTGTAGCCAGATGGCTCTTCATAAAAAAAACCCAACTTTCTTCCAACTCTGATAGATCAGTCCATGGGATTTCCATAGCCCAAGAATTGTTGTTGCCTTTGGCTACATGATGGTTAATGAGTGAACTAACAGACCCTGACCCTGGGAGTGATCTCTCTAATTGCCCTGTGGTTCCCCTAGATCACTTAATTGATCTCTGCTACTCTACTCATGTCAAGCCAATATCCACACTAAAACAGCCCGTAAAGGTGTTTATTTTAGTTCTGTAACTCCAATTGCAATTGATACGTCTACTTGCAGTAGTTCTTTCTGTATTTGAAGCTAACTACGGAAGATAAGAGACTAAGTCAATAAAATGTATTTGGATAATTTAATCTTCTATCTCAACAAATGTATAGGAAGCAAAGGTCCCATTCTTATACAAATATTAGTGAGGTAAGTAGAACTCATTGTCATACATAGTGACATATTCTTACACACACGTGTATGTTTAATTAACTGTATCAAAACCCCGCATACCACGTTCTCAGAGAAATTATCTGATTAACAATATAGAGGATTTGAAGCATATGAGGATAGATTCTCTTGATGTACTCACCCAGAATACCTGTTTGCTACAAATGTACATAAAGCCACATGTATTATGAACCCTACTTTATAAGAGAGCTTACTTCTTAAACTTCCAGGTATTAAGAGATGTATTTAAGACACTTAAGGTGGGTTTGTAATGCACCTAAGGCAATACAGCTTCTACCAGGCTCTATACATTTCTGGAATGCATGGTAAAGGTAGTTCATACAGAAGTTCTGGAGAATTCAGAAGGTGCATATTAGGTTTCTTTAGACATTACACATTAGATACACGTGTGGACTGCGACTATCACAACGTGTAGGGAGTCATGCAGCCTCCAGCAAACTAGTGTAATTAGTTCAGCTAATCAGCTCGTCAGCTTCAATAGTCTTTTTACATTTTTTATACATACCGTCCTCCTTCTGAGGCTTTCACAGTGTTTTTTCTAGTATTAATGAGCTAAGGAGCAACACATTTAGGTTCATTATTACTACAGAGTTGGTTAGTCACTGATAAGAGTTAAGGCCTTGCAATGACATCGTGGCAGGGCTGTGAGAAAGAACATGAATTTTACATCAGCGTTTCTGTCACAGCTATTGAGGAATTTTCCAGAAACGGCAACAGAAACATGATAAAGTGTAGAGCTGGCAACAGTCCCAGTTTGAGCAGGACTTTGAACCAGATGATCCTCAGACACCCCTTCCAACCAACATTTCTGTGAATCTATAATTCTGATCATCCAAGAACTTAGGATCCTAAGATTCTGGGTGGTTACTCAGTAAATTCAGTAAAAAAAACCCCTCAGCTCTTTTGGGACCGGCTATTTGGGCTATGGGGTGCCAAATTATGGGATGCCTATTTTGCTATCAGTAGCAAAAGCCTAAATGAACGCCTAGTTGTTTCAGTCAACAAAAACCGTTATGTGTAGGTCAGTTTTATGATAATATTGGTGCCCATCTCCCTCTAACAAGATATCTCAGCTGGGCATTTTCCCTACATGCAATCACAAATTACTTCTTACTGCCATTATATGCATTCCTATGGACGAGTCTGGCAGTTATAGGCTCTCAGGGGTGAATAATTTCCTATAGCCACTCACAGCTTCGTCATACCAAGCCAACAACAAGGATTTTTGTTGTCAGCTTGAAATGGGATTCATCCTATTTTCTAGCATTTGCCACTGCTAGCTAGTATTGTTTTTGCAAAGGCTTTTACATAAAGCAAAACTGACTGAAAATATACATGCATCTAAAGGGTATTGGACAGTTTTTATGAGCTTCTAGGATTTTACCCTTTCGTACTTTCGGCTGTTGCTTCCACAACAGAGTCAGTGCTCTGGTTTGTATAGTGGACACCTGTCAGAAAACACAGTGTATCTCTCTCCTAGATACAGCTGTCTTAGGTGCCTTGCTTTGTTAAACATTCCCAGTTTTTTATTTCTCTGTTGGTTTTTATTTGATGTTTGCAATTCCCGCAGAACCACCTGGAGAGTTTCTGAGAAGCTCTCAATATGATCCCATAATTCTTCTATGTAAGATTTTCACCCACTTTCCTTCCTATTTTGCCTTTTCAAAATAAATCCATTTGATACACAGACATGCTGAGAATTTTTTGTTTTGAGGAGTAGACTTATGATCTGAAAATCAGCAGCAGAATTGACAGTTTGTTAACCACTTGTTCCCTCTTCTCTGTCAGATGAATTACAGAGACTTTAATGCTCAACAAACATGCTTACCTCAGGTATTGCTATGATTGGTCCTGGTGGTCCTGGTGGTCCAGGAGGTCCCACAATACTGGTCCCATCCTGTCCTGGTTTGCCCTATTTCAAAAGCATTACAGGTGGAAAACCTGTTTATTAAGTACTACATTTCACATGTATTACTTAGAAAGAAGGAAATCTACACATTCTCACCTGAGGTCCTGGGTCACCCTTCTCCCCTTTTGGACCCTGCATGTGATTAAAAAAAAATGAACGTAAGTGATTTAAAAGGAAAAATTTTGAAAATGTGCTACTTCTACCTTCGCAAAAAGCACAACAGTAAAATGCAGGTATGTGAGAGACGAGAAACCAGGCCTGTGAGAAACTAAGACAAACAACCTGGGAAAGCAAAAGTTGAGGCTGATTGAAGAAATGCCTCAAACACTCACAAGACAAAACTATGAGTCACAGGGTGCTTTCTGTGGCGGCCGAAGCTGATAAGGCTGCGCGATGTATCTGGGGGAGAGAGCCCTGTGGAGACAGGACGGCTCTCCTCTGGGGCACCTGGGCAGATTTCAAGGGCCATGGGTCCGGTGAATGAACTTTGCTTCATTATCCATGAAATGCATATTAAAGTGAGCACCCCTCAATATGCTAATGAGGGCTGTCATGATCATGCGAGTGACATCATCCCATGAAACACCTTACCCCTCCCTGTACATGGGATATGTAGCTATGTGGGTCGACCTAGGGGACGGACCCATGGAAAGTGGGTATAAATCAAAGGGGAGAAGAAAGGGCTCTCTCTTTCTCTCTGCTCCTCTCTGCTCCCCTTCTCCCTGCCCCTCGGCCGTCTGGAGAGAGCAGTGAAGCGAAAAAGACGGCCGTCTCCTGGAACCCTCGCCGTCGGGATCAGTGCAGGAACCCAGACCGGTGATCTGTATTCCCCCATTCCCTCTATCTCCCTCTTTTCCTTTTTCTATTAAGAAATGCAAAGCATATTATATTGCTCGTCACAGCTTGCTCTGTACTTAGCCACTTATCATGTGTTCAGTTAGTACATTGTAGGTAGGTAATAAATGCTTGAACTTGGAGACTTGTTGTCCGCTCCAATTGGGGATTTGCAAATCTGAGTCACTCGTCCCCTTCGTCTGAGCGGGACGTGACAAGGTACAAAATGATCAATCCCCAGCTCTCTCAAACCACAGATGGGGCCAGCTGGTTTCAGCTCACACCCTCTGAGGATTTGATGTTGAAAAGTATTTCCCAGCACTTTTGACAGAGTTCACAGATGACCAGAAGCAAATGGGCACACAACATTTCATTAGTTGGGAATTAATTCAACAAGACTTTCTTTTACTGCACTGAAATCAGCCGTGCCTGGCTACTCCTTCCCTTTTCAGCATTAACCACTTCAGCTGTGTCTGGGGTTGCCCAGTGGACTGGGCAGGGGAGCACAGGTGAGCTAAACAGCCATTATTCAGGCAGGTTATTTCTAAGCTTGATCAGGTTCTTGATACAACTCACTGTGCTTGAGGACTCAGACAGCTTGTCTGGTGAGAGTGAATGTGGCAGAGGAGTAGTGTGACTTCCTAGCTAAAGATCTCTGTAATCCTCGTGGCTCTTCATCATGAGAAATACATTAAAATCAACTATGAGCCTGTTGGTTTCCCTCTAATTAAAAGCAAAGCTGATTTCTGAATAATTAAAAGCAAAAGGAGCATGGAAGAATCAGAACTAGCCTCTGGAGATTCCTGTATCACTTCTGACTGATGAGGGAGGCAAGATCAAGGGACACTCTGCTCCTGTGTTTGGTCTCTGAGGTAACTGCTCCAGGTGAAGTAGGACAAACCCAGGCCCAGCTCTCCACGTGCTTCTAGCAAGTACAGTCAGGGCTGCTGCTGATCCTTAAGACATAGGTTTGGGAGCCAGCGCATGTTGGTGATCACAGATTATGACAGTCCTACTCACCACATCTCCAGGATGTCCAGCAATGCCAGGAAAACCTGGTTTTCCATCTGTACCTGGCATTCCCTGTCACAACAAACATACTGTTAGTCTCTAAGTTGTATTCAGTTTCGAAGAAACATACATAGGAGGCTACTACTCTTGCGGGGCGGACACACTATAGTTCTGAATGGACTAGGGGCCATGTTTGTAGGGGGGCTCCGTGGAGCAGGCATCAATCATCTCATTAATCATCCGTTCTCTCCACTCATCCTGCTGTTTCCCCCTCTCCAGAACAAGTTATTTTAAATGCAGCCTCAATCATTCTTCTCTGCTGCTCACTCCTCTGCTAAGCAAAAGGGTGAATTCTGTTGCTTTCCCCCAATATATATTTCCTGGGTTATTTTCACCCTTCATTTAAGTGATTCTCAGACTGCTCCTGCCCCTGCTCTAGTGTAATGCCAGACTGAATATTACTGCTAAGAACCTGATCTGTTACTCTATTCTATTCTATGGGAATACTCTATTCTATGGGAAAAATAGAAGTATCACTTAGTAGTGATAATGCAGTTTACCCAGAGAAAAATGAATAAAAAACTGAATTCTTGAAGGACCAGATAAACAGTGAATTACATTTTTTGCATCTGTTTTTCTTTGTATTGTATGAAAGAGCAAAGGAAATGACACAGAACAGACTAATGATTCATCTAAGTGACAAATTAACCCTGTTTTGTTTTAGTAGTGGGGCTATTTTTTGTTTGTTTGTTTCTTTGTTTCTTTGCTTATTTGGTTGGTGGGGATTTTTTGGATTTGGGGTTTTTTTTGGTCTGGTTTGGTTTTTATTTTTTTTTTCTTGGGGGGTGGGAGTGTTTTGTGTTTTTTTCTTTAGGAAAAGGTTATTTTGGTTCTTACTTTTTGTTATGCTTCAGGAAAATATTTTTGGTCTTTTACTGAATACACGTATCAAAAGGGCAGGAAAACAAGAGCGCATGTTTGCACATAACTTGAATTCTGTGCACTGGTTTGTTCACATTTTCCATCTTGAAGAGTATCTAGTGATACTAGAGAAACTTCAGAAAAGTCCAATGGGAATAATGGAAGGTACAGAATGGATTCTCTATGAGACATGGTGGTTTAAACTATGACTCTTTAGCTTGGAAAAGAGACAAATGAGGAGGTGGGTGAAGAATATTGTAGAAGCTTCTAAAAGTAAAGTAGTTAATGCCTCACACCTCTAATAGATGAAATAGTGGGCATCAAATGAAAATAGGTGGAAAAAGTTCATGGGATGTCTAGTTAAACTGGCAGAGCATCTTACCCCAAGTTCTTGGAAATTGTAGAAGTCTGCATGAGTTCCAGGGGAGACATCAAACTCACTTGAAGAGACCTAGTTGTGGTTCAGACACCATTTCTAGCTGGGAAAGTCTCTGAGTCACAAATTGTTGAAGTCTAGGAGGTCACTCAGGAAGACTATGATGTAATACTTGCCCTTTTACAAGGTCAAATTACATCTAAGCATCTGCTTAAACTTCATATGCTTTTGACATTTTTGGAGACAGGATACTGGGATGCAAGGATATGACCCAATAAACCCACTGAGAATTACCTAATATTCTACAAGAGTGTCTTAAAGAACAACAGAGTTTCAAAGCATCTGAATTCAAATGGTCTTCTCTGCTGAATATCTGGTGTGATAGAAAAATTTAAGTTAATATTTCATAGGACACAAAATCCTCTCTCTTCTAATCACAAGCATAAAAGATTTAATGTGTCCACTTCATTAAGAAAGGGTATTCTCTCCGTTATTTCTGTTTTTTGTCTGTGATCAGCAAAGCACGTGCTCAGGAATAAAAATTCAGTTTATTAAGATAATTTATAATTTCTGAAGCACTCTAATTTTCATTTTATAAACAAGTGCAGGATAAAAGCTGTCTCTGATTGTTAATGGTATTTAGGCACCTAAGGAACTGCTGGGATTTAGGTACCTACATGAGTAGTAAAAATGGTACTTGTGGCTTAAGTCTCCAGTGCTTGTGGAAAATTATATGTGGAAAATCTATCTGCAGCAAAGGTAATTGGACCAAAACCATTTCTCCAACAGAATGCTGTAATTTCTGTCATGTTAGTACCTGCAGATTAGCTTCCTACTATTACAAATGCTGAATAGTTTCAACAATTGATTTTCCTAACATAATTTAATTTGGAAGAAAAGATCCAGGATAGGTAAGATGCTTTACTGTAAATAATGTATCCAGAGACATCCTTATTTCTAACTCTATTATTTTAAGAGTGTAGGTCATTGCTCAGATATAAAAGGACTAAGAACTTTTTAATCTGAGGATTGAAGTGATAGATTAATTATTTTTAACTATCACTGTAGTCACTCCACTTACAATATATGCATATCTTTGAAATGTATCAATCACATCAACAGTAATAATTACTAGAACAAGGACCACAGAACAAAGCACTTGTATGTATAATAATTACTATAGTTTCAAACAGATTAAAGAGTTAAACTGTCCTATGTACCAATGCATCAGCTGTAATTATCATGCTGACAAATATCTGTGTGAAATGGCAACACTCAAAATATGTACAGCAGATGGAATTTATGGCAAGCAGAGTCCTGCTACATTGATTAAAAAAAAAAATAAACAAGCAGATGATGCTAGAAGACTGTGATAATACTCTTGTAAATATTCAGCAAGCAGAAGGGTAGATTCATAATTGCTTTTATCTTGTTTCCTAAAGCAACTCTTGATTTCAGTGCTGTCCCAAATGCAAGGAAAAATTTATTTTATTTTATTTTATTTTATTTTATTTTATTTTATTTTATTTTATTTTATTTTATTTTATTTTATTTTATTTTATTTTATATTTTATGTGAGTCCTAGCACTGCCCTCTGCTGGCTTATGCCTGCAAAAAGGACGCGAGCCAGCCAGGGACTGGCAAAATGAAGCACAGATGCAAGCAGAAGCTTTGGGGTGGACTCCAAGAGGACTCGAAACCAGAATAGACAGGGATAATGATAGGAAATATTGGAGAGGAAAGAATGGACTCCAGCTCCATTCATTTCAGCACTAACACTGTGTAAAGCAGTGGGCATTTGGCAGGTTTCCCTGTCGGTGGGGTCTCGTGTAGAAGCTGCACTGATTCAGAGCAGCAGGTCTAGGTTGCACACTGGTGCATGGGATGAATTAGACAACAAGGACAAATTACAACTTGGAAGCCACAGGCTGCACATTAGGAAAACTGTCTTTCCAAAGAGGATAGTGAAGCACCAGAAGGAGATACCCACAAAGTTCTTGGAATCTTCCCTGGAGGTATTTAGGGCTCAGTGAGACAAATCCACTGCTGATGTGATCTAGTGTTGGTGATAATACCACTTTGATATTGGACTAGATGACCTCTGGAGGTCCTTTCAACCACCATTTCTGTAATCTTGTACCTCCTGAGTGGCCAGGTGTGGGTTAGGAGGAGCTTGGCTGCACGATGATAGGCAGGTTCTAGCACAGAAATAAGCAACAATGATGCCCTCTGTGCTGAACACCAAATTGGGGTTGTGCATGGCTCCTGAGGCCTCTGCTCAACAAGATGTGTACATACTACTGTACCACAGACATGTGTCATGGAGGGAGTGCTTTGGTGTAGGCTGCTACCTACACACCATGATATTAAGGAGTAAGAGGGCATGTGAATCTTAGTTTTTTTATGTAAACTTTGCTGATTTTCACTTTTGCTCTGGTGAAAATGTAAACAGCCCCCCCAAACACTATGGCTCAGGCACCTGAGGATTTTAAATGCAATTTTAGCCATATTTTGAACAGAAGTCTTAAGCAACAGGTTACACTGGCTCCTGATAATTCAACTGAGAAAGGGTTGTATTTTTCCAGAGAAGCCTCCCTGAGCTTTAATATGCTGACAGAGCAAGAAATGTTCATTATCCCCTGAGCACATTAAAAAAGGAAACAAAGAGGAAGAAATGTCTAAATGTTTAGATCAAGTTAAATGAATTTCCCACCTTTGAACCTGGTGGACCAATGTTGCCTCTTTCTCCCTGAAATGGAGACATAGTAGGGGTCAAATATCAAAGTGAACAGTAAATACAAGGGTTTTAAACATGAATCTTTCTTCCCTTACAAACAAAGGAACCAAATGGAGTAAAATGATTAGCAAAAATAAGGCATATTTTTGGTAAAGTGATGCTCAACACACATTGGTGAAACGGTTTTGGGGGCTTAGCCTACAAATTGCCATCCACATCTTGGAGTTTCTGGTCACCACACATTATTTTTGCTGAGCATCTACCAAACCACATGCCTGAACCTTCATTCTGATGTTTGAAATCAGCACATGGTAACATTCCACAGATCTACCAATGCCACAATGACCTTGTGCCTTCACAAATGACCCACCATCTTCCTTCAGCCTAGGTAACTCAGCCTCCCCCACACTACTGTTCTCCGCATCTACCCAGCCACTGCATCATACCATGAACAATGTCATGAGTGCTGCAATGTTCCAACCCTGGGACTGATTCCGCAGCAGTCTAGCTCTGAATAGACACAATTCCTTGATTTCATTACAGACAGAGAACACGCAATTTAGTTTACTTGATTTGAGATAGAGGATATAAACAGGAATAAATCAGCAAGGAGCTACAGACATTGCCTCAAATGTTATGTTTATGCTTACCCTCTTTTAGGAATGTATGAAGACTGCAGACTGTTTTAATGATAACGGTTTTTCATAATAATAAAAGTGAAAGCAGAATTTGGATCTATACTTACTTGCTAGGAAAGGTAAAACTTTGATCACAGAAGGCCTTCTCTGACATCTCTACTAGTCTGGGGTATTTGAAGGATGAAGATGTATGAAACATAACTATACCTTAAACTCCTCGTGATGCATTATCTCGTGGTTTTTGGAAGTGGGTGGTTGTTGTATTTTGCCACTGTTGCCTAGTGAAGTCATTTATAACCATGAAAAGTGGGTGTAAAATTCATCCCCACGAGAATGGTAGCGTATTATAACCACTTTATATTAATTTTTCTGTAGTGTACCTCATTTTGTAAGATGTCAGGCAATAGTATGTTCCTTTCTGTGTCTTCATGATCTTGGGGATGAATTCTCAAAACTGAACAACTAAAATCTTAGTGTAGGTGGTGGTGAAGTCTCTTGGCCAAGGTTTATGACTATCTTTTCAGTACCGGTACAGTACCTGAACCCTAGGAATAATGCCACCTCCATTTCCGAAGTCTTTGTGAAGCAATATTTTCACAATATTTGAAAACAAAATTTCTAGATAGGGGAAGAAAATAATGTCTTTTCAGCATGAAGACTTGGCAGCATCATATGAGAGCACATCTATTCTAGCCAGCCCTTTGCAGTATCGTTCATTAACATGTGCTGTGCAAATACTTGATTTTTTTGACTCATACATATTGTTGTCCTCCAGCATTAATAGGACTAGTACCCCATGGAGGGAATTTTTTCAGCTCTATAAGCTGAGCTCTGTAGATTCTAGACATAGGGGAGTAGCCAGATCTTTGATTGCTGTTGTTCTATGAAATGGATACATGCAGTTATGGCTGGCAACGTGCTTTCTGGGTAGTCAGCGACTGGTGCTGTGTGTGTTCAGGTGTAAATTTTAGGAAGAGAGGATGGGGTCCCCCACCTATTTTTTTTCCATATGTTGCTATCTCAGTGTTGCTGTCATTTCCCAGGGCAATGAAGATTTCAAATTTCTTTAACTCCACATTTAAGGTGCTGAAAATATGTTGTCATGCTGTACTGTTAACCTGAGTGGTACTTGAACTTTATAGAGGAATAGGAAAAGCCTCTTCCTGTCTAAGGTCCTTTTCTGTGAACCTGCTCTTCTTTTTTCTCTGGCTTTTCATTTCTCCATTTTTTCCTCATAGGTTACTTAACCAACAGCAGCATCAAAGTGGAATAATTCAGTCACTACTAATCTCAAATCAAAACCAAAGCAAAGTAGTCATGACACCTCCCTTCTTCCCCCCAGCATCTTCCAGAACATTTTCCTATCACTTTCTGGGATCATGTCAGAAAGTCTCTTCCTGCAGGTTTCTCTTTCAACAGCATACATGTAACCTCTTGGAAACCAGAATGATGTATAAATGAGCAACAAAGAGAAACTGCCAAATGTCCTAAAAAAATTAAACAAAAATGCCATGTTACACCAACTGCCTTGGAATTTAACGGCCCAGCTGGTATTTACTCACTGTTCTGGTGTGGATGTGAAATAATCCTATTAATATACATTCTGGGTGGATACCCAGTGCAAGTGGAAACAAAATTTGTCCCATACTTAGTCAGTGTGTGAATGTTAAACAACAGCTGTTTTTTTAAGGCAAATGCTGGCAACGTAAAAACAAAAAAATTTTTGTCAAAGCAAAATAGGTTAGCTTTCAAGCGTTCCTTGTTACTTAGGGTACCTTTGGTCCTAACGGCCCACGCTGTCCATGTCTTCCTGCAGAACCCTGTAAAATTACACTGAATTTACTGGTAAACCCACGCAGCATTTCATAACAAATTTGGTTAGAAAAAAAACTTAATTCATAACACAACTGTTATAAAAATATATTGGAGACCAATATTTTGATTGGTATCAACAGAGAGTAATCAAATGTAAGCACTGTTTTAGATTTGTTGGTCTAATAAATATTGCCTTGCAATACTATCATGCAAAGATCTAACGATTTTTTTTTCCTTACAAAGACAACTTTAATCTTGATATTAGAAATTAAGTTGTCCAAGTGCATTTGTTGCAATTTGAAATGCTTACAATTGTTTGAATTTGCCTCCTAGGCTAAAATTAAGGTGTTATCAATTTAGAGGCAACATGGCATTGCCTTGCTAGGTTTAAATGTAGCTTGAAACAAACATTTGGGGATGCAAATTTCTCTCTTGTCTCTGTATGGTGACATCAGGTGTAAAATACAATTAGGTCTCTGGTGGTAAAATGAACAACAGTTCATTATTGATCATTTTAGGAAGTTGAATGGAAAGAAAAGAATTCAACAAAGTGATTGAGTTGTCTTCATCTGGAATATGAAGACAAGACACTAAAAACCAAACAGCAGCAAAACCTTACCCTGATCTGAGGAAGAAAGAGAATAGAAACCCTGGAAATGATAGCTGAACCTACAGACAAAATAAATTTGATACTTCTAATTCAAAGCATAACCACTACTTTCTCATAAAAGATTAATAAAAAATTCAACAGATACAAATATAGTGCAAATAAATGTAATTTATTTCCAAGCAGCTGCTTTGAGTTACAGCCCTCTTCGAAGCAGATATTCTATTTACACTCAGACACAATGGGGAACCTCTGGGGGTTGTCATAGGGTGTAAGTGGTTCATCATGCTTTCATGCAGTACCAGTAAGTATGCATAATAATTTTCATGATTACAGGAAAGTTCTTATGTGCCTTCTTTACTGACTCAAACTTTGTGGAGTAACTAAGCAGTAACAGGAGAACAAAATTCCAGGATTTTGTTCAGCTCCAATAAGACATTTTCTCAGTATATATAGCTGAGTGACTGGGAAACAATGCCTGTTACAAAACCAAAATTGAGAGTAAGGCTGTCATTTAGGCAAGTCAGAAATGGGCAATTTTTGCACTGGTTTTGGACATCTCATTTTGGACACCAGCTTGTTTCAGCTAATGAATTCTGTTCTTATTTTTGTAACTGTATTTTTGTGCCACATTTTTAGTATCTAGGAAAAGATATAAGACAGGGCAAAGGTGTCTAAGATTCTAAACTGAGTCAGCTATAACTTCAGTGACTCACAATTACTAGTACTTTAAACGAGCACAGTAAAGGTCTTCTCAAACTCACTCCTGTCTCCAGTGTTCAGTTGATTTCTGATGATTCATGGAATCATAGAAAGAGGGTTGTACAGAGCCTCTGGAGGCCATCTAATGCAGTCACCCCCTTGAAGTAGAACTGTCACCAGCTCGAGATTAGGTCAGTCATGTCTCTGTCCAGCAAAGTCTTGAAAAGCCTTAAGAACCAAGCTTCCACAACCTCCCTGAGCAAATTTCCCTAGTTCTGCACCAACCTCCTAGTGAACTAGTTTCCTAAGGTTTATCTTGAACATCTCAAGCTGCAAATTGTGACCATTGTCCTTTATAGCACCATCTGGCACTACGAGGAACAGTCTGATTTTATCATTTTTGCAATTGTCCCTCAAAGACTGGTAAGCAGCTATTAGACCTTGTCTTTGTCTCCTTTTTGCCAGACTAAACCATTTGAGCTCCTTCAGCCTCTCCTCACTGGCCATGTACTTAAGGCCCCATGCTGTCTGTACAGCTCTCTGCTGGACTGTCTGTCTTCCCCACATCCTTCTTGAAATGGGGCACAAAAAAAAATTGATTTAGTATTTCAATGCAGACTCACTAGCCCTGAATAAAGGGCTATAATAATAACTCTGTATCTGTTGGCAATGTTCTACCTGATGTATTCCGCTAGACGGTTTGCTTTGTTTGCCGTGATAGTGCACTGTTGCCTAGTATTAAATCTGGCATCTACCATAACCCAAGGTCATCATCATCAGCACTTTCTTCAAACTTGGGCAACAAGACTCATTCCTGTTATTTGAATGTTTCTTTTGGAGTGAGTACAGGGGCAGGACTTCTGAACACCAAATTGGAACAATGCAGGCAGCCCTGGAAAGAGGAACGCTGGATAATTGCCTGCTTTGAAGAAGGCGTCATAGGCTGCAGTTTTGATGTTATTGCTAAGAATGAAGATAAATCCAAATGATCTGGTAAGTACTGATGCATTATATTCCCATATTTGCTACTTGGTGTTTTAAAGCAGCCCACACTAGCAAAACTCTCCTGAGACACTGTGATGGAGAAAAAAACACCCCTCTGGGACATTGCTTCCACATTACTGGGAACATTTTTAGTTTAAATAGTATTGCAGTTTATGCACATTTGATTATCAAATTGTAGCATTTCAGTTTCATTAGTACATATAATTCATCTTCATATTTAAGAGGGGCATCTATTAAGGTAAAACAAGAAATAGAGAGCTAGATAATCAACCCCCCCTATTTTGTCTTTTATTCTCTCAAAATATACCAGAGCAGCATCTAAAAATCATCATCTAATCAGGTATCAGAGAAATACCATCCAGATTCTTTGGAGGTTACAGTTATTTAATGTCATTCTAGAACAATAAAACTGAATCGAGTGCAGTGCAGTAACTCCAAATCTATAGTTGACTGGGGCTATGCATTTCCAAAAAACAGAGAGAAGGCCACTTTTGTTTTTGAAAAAATCCCCAACAACAAACAACACTCCCCTCCCCCAAAACATCGACTTACCTTTGGCCCTCTTGATCCTGGAATTCTGGATTCACTTAACAGGCCAATGCTACCTGATCCTTCCATGTCCTAATGGAAGAGAAAAAATGCTACAGAATTTAAGAATATTTTATCTAATATCTTTGTTTTTTTTTTCAACTGTTCTGTTTTCCAGAGTCCTGTGAAAAACTGGGAGGATACTGAACACAAATATTTTTATCTTTTCTCATCAACCTTTTTTTTGACCAGTGCATGATGTTCTGGAGATAGACTCCACTCAAATGCGATATTAAGCATGTTGATCTTCCTTACAGAAACTCTGGTCTTTAGAGTCTTGCCAATTTGACACCATTTCTCCAGCACTTCAGGCTGGACTGCATCAGGCAGAAGTGAGACAGCATCCCAGTTTTAAGTATGTGCTATGTTTAAGCATGCTGTAGCAGTATTTTTCTGTTTAACATTTACCTGCCAGTTGGCTACTGAAATACTGTAATGACTAGCAAGGGTTACATAACTGATTTAAGGCTGGGAGATCTTTCAGGCAGTTTGTTAAGAGCAGCAATCATGAATCAAAAATAAAAGTCGTCCTATTTCTCACAGTTGAATGTTGAACTCCTGTCTAAAATACAGCTTACTGAAATGAAGCTGAGCAGGAAAAAAAGTTCCATCAGAAAACTGTAAAATTAATTATGTTGGGAGGGATCTGTTGAAAGCACCGTCAACAGTGGATTCCAATCAGTTTGCTCAGGGGTTTGTGACCTCATGTCTTGTAACGTTCCAGAGGTGGAGGTTCTGCAGCCTCTCCAAGCACCTGTTCCAATACTTGGCTGTCGTCAAGGTGAAAAATATTTTACTTATATCGTCAGAACCTCCCCTGTTTCAATTTATGATTGTCATTGCTCATCACTCTGTGCACCACTGTGAAGAGCCTGGCCATGTGTCTTCTCAATAACCTCCTTTTAGGTATCAGAAGGCTGCTAAAATGCTCAAGCAAGCTCAGTTCCCCGAGTCTTTCCTCACATTTCGTGTGCTCCAGCCCACTGATCATTGTTGCAGCCCTTTGCTGACTTCAGAAAGATCTCTGTGAAGTGGAAGACCTTGAGAGAAGCTTCCATACTTCCTGTGTTTTTCTAGGTGTTTTAAAGGAGACTACACAGAAAGCAGCAACCTCCCTCCAGCTCCTGTCATTCTGACTGCGACATTCCAAATCCATGGTAGAACCATGGGCTGCCACCTCCAAAGCAGCCAAAGAAATAGAATTGCAGCCTGCCATAATTATCTGTTTTACCCCGAGCACCATCCCAGCCAAATGTTCCTATTCCTTATATTATGCCTAATCTAGAACTTGTCAGACTGGACTTCAAACCATCTGAATGGACCATGCCAGCAGAAAACTGTTTACTTGTTTTTAGCTGCAGTTTTAAGTGCAGCTGTGCCAGCTTAATTGTTTCTTTTTTTTTCTGAAAAGGGAAAATCTTGATCTTTCTTTGCTCCACTTCCCTGCTCACAGACATATGGCCTTCATTTTCAACATCAGTGCCATGTGTTGAATCCTCTCACTTTCCTGTGAGCCACTTTTAATCACAAAAATGGCGGAAAATACATTACTCAATTTTTAGGGGTGGGATAGTTCTCTAAAATTTTAGTAAATTAAGTTGGCTTGTGGAAGGGTTGATGGAGCATGGGGTGTTAGTGCCTGTGAAGGGCAGGCATGTGCCAGGAATGGCTGCAGGTGGAAGGAGGAGCGGGAGCAAAGCAGAATCTCCACCTCTTAGTGACAGTGAGCCCTTGTATCAGCTTATTGTGTTTAGAGGGCCCATATCCCTTGCCTACTTAGCTTTCTGCTAGTTAGTGACTTGAAATGACTCACAGATTTGATGCACTTTGGAGATGGTGCAAGGGAAAGGGTGGAAGATTGATTAGATCATCTTAAACTGCTGTGGAATGAAAGCCTAATGCTGGAGTTATGGAAAACATCAACAGATCTGACTCCAGTGAAAAAGAGAGATCTCATTCTTTTGCCCTTTTCCACCAACTCCACAAGAGCAAGAGCAAGAACAAGAGAAGCAGAAGGAATCACGTCCTTCCTTTCGGGGGCCAAGCTGGGAGACATTGAGTCATCAGGTTGGCTCAAGTCCTTTTATGCAAATTCACTTGAGACTAAATGTTATTCTGACTTACATTATGCTCCTCCATCAACTATCAGTGCATCAAATAACAATAGAAAGCCTGCTGATACTCTGTTTGGCCTGTTTAACCAAACACTCACTACTTAGGGTAAACGACAAGCTGTGTTTGTGGGTCCTTCTTTCCCTTGCCTCCACTGTGCCAATATATTTTCCCCTTTAAGAGAGTGCTTGGTGCCTGCTTTATATAACACACCATCGCTTTTGACATCTGCATGTTTTTAATAGGTTTACCAGGTACCTTCTGCAGCTCAAACTGTTCTTTTGGCAAGTGTAAGTGCCAGCAAACCCCATGCCATTTGGTTTTTGCACATAGCTGATCACAGATGCTAACGAGTGCTAACAGGAATGTTTTGCAGAAACAGCCTTACAGCAATAAACAGACTGCCAACCAAAAGGTAGTGTTGCCCTAACGAACTGGCAGACCATGGTGCTGCTTTAGCAGATGGCAGGGGTAGGCATCCAAAAGATCAGCTAGAACTAGCAAGCCTGTTAACAGTAGTATTCCTCTCAGGGAAATGACAATCATGCCAATTCTATTTGGACTAGATGAAGTTCAGGATGAAGACAGTCAAGATATTGTTGCTGCAGTTAGAGCTGGGATCCTTCTGGGTTTGTGTCCATGAAAGCAGGGACTTCCAATTTTCACTCTCTCCTGCTCATTTGCTAACTTTGCTCCTCTGAGACTTAGGTAACAGAAGTGGTGGAGGTACCTGCAGGGGAACTCTTTGGTGGCATATGGAAGCAAAATTGGCTTCTGCTCAAATAGCATGAATGGGGAAAAGTGGAGAATCTCTTAACACTGGATCCTCTAGGGTCGCAGAAGATGACTGTAAGTCAGAGAAGCAATCATCCTGGGCTAAAATTCAGAGCAGGCCTAGGATGAAGATGTTGCTTACCAGTACTCCTTATCTCATTCTTTGACAAGTACATATTTATTTAGGGGAGACTCTGTACCAGCCTTTATAGTGTGTCTAAGTTAAAGCAATGGAGTGTTTGTAAGTTTAAACTCTATGCTGTTCATTGCTATCAATTGCAGTGCTGGCAATTAGGAACTTGTGAACTGCTGGAGAGATTTTTTTATCCATTGAAATCCACTGACATCAGTGAGATTATTAACCAATAGTGTATATAGTACAATATTGTATATAGTACATTATTATTATATTTAGTCAGAAATCAGAATATGTCTCTATTAGAAGCATTAGTGGTCACCTCTGTACTTGGAGTACTCAAAGTGTCTCTAAAGAAAAAGGAAATACATAGTGTAGATACTAGGAGAAACATGTGTGAGTAAATTGGTATCTTTTAAACACCACCACTTTACTGCAGCAGTTCTACAGCTAGTCAGTAGTTTTGGTCAAACTGCTTAACTCTTTAATGAAACTGCCCCCAGTTTCTATGCAAACTTGTATTATGTCCCATGATATAAAAACCCCCAAACTCTGAATCAGACTTTCCTGAGCCAAACAACTAAATTAGAGATGAAAAGTGAAAAAAAAAAAAAAAAAACGACTCATATGTGAATATCAATGTAGGCAGTTTGCAATTTTTCTTCACAAAGATGTTGATGTGGCAGCTCTAGTTCTTGAACCTGAGTGTGCTCCCTTGTCTTTCTGTACTTCAAAGATACTTTACACTCTGAAAAGATCATGTAAATGAACAGTTCACAAATTACATGTCAGCTTGAGGTGTCCAGATCTCATATTTTAAAGTGATGAAGGTATTATTTTCATAAAGAGTAGCATGGGTAACTTTTAATTTTTTTTAATAGAACATTTCTCCTCTGAGTAGAACAGACCATGAGGTCAGAAATGTTCGACATCTGTCTCTGTATTTACATGTTACGTAAGTGACGTACCTAAGCTAAACTTGTGGCCTCAAGAGTGACAGCATGAGAAAAGTCACAGCTTAAAGGGGGGATCTGCAGTTTGATTTTAATGAATACTGTCAGGTCACTATGTAAAATGTTTAGATCATTGTTCTAAATTATTTACAAGAAAAAAATTATTAAATAAGTTTTCCCTTGTAGTACAGTATTTGAGTATTTTATAAAAGCAGCATAGGCATCAAATATAGCACCTGAACACTGTTACTACTGAACAGTTTGTGAAAATTGCCCAAAGAAATCTATTACTTCCACAATTTAAGCATGGCCTGTTATATCACAGAATGACAGAAGCATCTATGTTAGAAAAGACCTTGAAGATCATCTAGTGCAACCATTAACCTAACACTGACAGTTCCCAACTACACCACATCCCCCAGTGCTATGTCGACCCGACTCTTAAACACCTCCAGGGATGGGGACTCCACCACCTCCCTGGGCAGCCCATTCCAACACCTAACAACCCCTTCTGGAAAGAAATGCTTCCTAATATCCAGTCTAAAATATAGGCAAATTAAAAGGAATTGTAGGCAAATTTCAATCGAGAGCAAATGACTCTACTTGTCATCAATTAAATAGATGTGAAATATCCAGGTGATTACACTTTCCCTCCTCTGAAGGAAGTAGATCCATAGCTACAACAAGCACAATACCTCAAATAGCAAAATACCTCAAATCCCAAACTGTAGCTTAGTCCTGGGGGTCCAGGAGGTCCAGGGGGCCCAGGAGGCCCTGGTGGTCCAGGTTTCCCAGGAGACCCATCAGCACCAGCTTCTCCTTTGGGGCCTATTGATCCAGTTATCCCAGTATCACCCTAAAATAAAAGGTCAGTCTATTGGTACATCAAACATGCATAAGTAGATGCAAGTAAGTACAATCATAGAATCATAGAACAGTTTGCGTTGGAAGGCACCTTAAAGATCACACACACACATCACCCCTTAAAGTTCCAACCCCCCTGCTATGGGCAGGGACACCTTCCACTAGACCAGGTTGCTCAAATCCTCATCCAGCCTGGTCTTGAGCACTGCCAGGGAGGGGCAACCCCCTGATCATCTTCACGGCCTCCTCTGGAGCCACTCGAGCAGGACCATGTCTGTCTTACACTGGGGACTCCAGAGCTGAACACAATACTCCAGGTAGGGTCTCACGAGAGCAGAGGAGTGGGAAGAATCAACTCCCTCAAACTCCTGGCCACACATTTTAGAGAAGTATTTTGGCCAACTGGGAAGCCAAATTTGCCAACTTCATTAGGTTTCATAATAATAATCTTTTAGACTTCTCAGCCCTTTTCAGTAATGTGCTGTATTAGAGAGATGCTGTTGTCTGACAAACCTGCCGTCTTTTTTTTTTACCTTTGGACCAACAGAACCAGGAAGACCTTGATCACCCTGTAAAAGAAAACCAATCCTAATTACTTACAGTAAGAGCATTAGACGGGTAACAGAAACACACACGATATTTTGGCTTAATTAAAATACCCACAAATTCCTCTCGTTTAATTTGATGTCATAGTGTCCTTTACATGAAACATTAGACCTCTTAGTTAAAAAAGAAAACAATCTGTAATTCAGGAGTTGTAATAACAAATGAATAGCTCTGGTCCGGTATGCAGACAGGATGCAGTCTTGTATTTCAATTATTGCTGCAGATTTTAAATGTCTGGAGCACACAGAATTATGCATTGCAGGTCACATCCTCGTGTTTCTGAACTTAAATGTCAAACTCTCATGGGATGTAACAGAGGTGGAAACTGATCCTACACAAGATGTGTAGGGCACTATTCCAAACAAGGAATATGATGACTAGTATGATTTTAAGGTTTCTCTGCAGCAATTGTACTATTTGATTTGCTTTTATACACTTTACTTAGACACTAGTTTTTCCACTTCTAGTTCATGCAATAGATGGCATGCAAATAGTTTTCCAAATTGCACTGAATCTAAAGGAAAATTGAATTGCACTGAACCTAACAGAATTAATTGTTATATTGGCAAACTCCTGTCCTTACTCATTCAACAGAAATACTACTTGAGTAAGTTCTGAAAAAAATGAGCAAGCACAAGGAGTAAAATGATAACTTTTTTCTAAAATTACAAAACTCCATCAAACTTCACTCCAAGGGACAAATTGACTACTTTCATTGCATCCTGCAATTTCTCTCTGTAATCTTCTCTGGATTAATTGGGAATAATGATTAAAAATAGATATTGCAATGTAGATTAAATCAAGGTTTTTGGAAAAAAAAGAATGGTAGAAATGGAATAATCCTATTATCCCAAGGGGCTGGGGATGATATTGAGCAGGTGCAAATACGTAGTGCTTCATTTATAATTAAATTTTTATCAGATATACACAATACAAAAACAGGCTCAGTGAGGCAAAACATTTTTTGTCCTTTTTTTTTTGAGGACTATGCTTTTCTAAAAAATGTAATACTTTTTCCAATTATTTCCCTTCCACATCAGTTTCTTCCTACAATATGCAATCAGGGTCAGTTTACTTCAGTTAGACTTTCTGTTCTTAGCTTCTTTTATGTAAAACACATAATGCTGATTACAATGGGCACAAGTTTTGTATTCCTGCTTTGTAACATACATACTGCATTTTCTGGATGCTAGTATGCTGCTAGTTCCCATGTCTGCTGTAGTTTTACCAACCTCAGGCTTTTGATATCACGGCTCAGATCCTTCAGCGTCCAGAGAAGATTTAAAAAAAATAAATTCTTGTGATTTAATAAATAAATAAATAAATAAATAAATAAATAAATAATTTTCTGGCCACTTCATTTCCTTTTTCAACTTGCCTTTTCATTTCCCTTACAGTATGCGAGCTTTCAATAGACACTTGGTAATCTATTTTCAAGTTCTTGTGAATAACGTGTGGTGTAGAAGCTCATGAGATGACATTTTCCTGTAGTCTTTGCCTCTGTCTTCTCCACATCCTTCTTGAAGCGGGGTGCAAAAAAATGGATTCAGTATTTCAAATGCAATCTCACTGGCCCTCATTAAGGAGTTATAATTATAACTTTACATCTGTTGTCCATGCCTTTGTCTCTTTTTTGTCAGATTAAATGGTTTGAGCTCCTTCAGCCTACTCTCATCAGTCATGTACTCAAGGCCCCTGGCCATCTCCATAGCTCTCTGCTGCACCAGCTCTGTCTTTTCCACATTCTTCTTGAAGCGGGATGAAAAAAAAAAAAAAAGGATGCAATAATTTGGGGAAATGTAAAAAGAGTGGCAATTTTGTAATATGTAGTTTTTGATTCTACAGCAACACAAGAAAATCTGTCTCCTGGTTGCTGTGATCTCTTGCTTTCATTTACATGTTCCCCACTTCTTGCCCTTTGCTGGCCATAGCGCTCATCTGATCATGCGTGAAGCCAATCAGTGCAGTAAATCAACAGGTAACTAAGTAAACCTTTGCTGCCAGGTCAGGATGCTGAAATGTCTCATGAAGGGGTGAGTGAAGAAGGCTGGGACTGACAAAATATGGGCATGGGATATCGTAACTGGGGGCAGCAGCAGTATAGTAGTCACAAGTTAAGAGAAATATAGACTGCTGCAGAAGTGTAGAAAACTTGATCTGCCGGTGGTACACAGAATCCAAACTTAAGTAATTCCAGCTGCCCTGGTATACACATGCGCCACAGAGGGCGCTTTCTGCGGGGAATGTGCCATCAGTCTGTGCCAATCTGGACTAGCTGGAGTTCTTTCTTTCCCCCTACAGACTCACCTGAATGTGTCCAGTCATGCCTGGCTTTTTATTGGTGAATCACAACAGGGTAGCTCATGTTGCATTTTGAATATTGCACACTGCAGAAAATGAGACTGCGTCCATTATGGAATTCTGGATTTCTAAATATGTATTTTGAGATGTGTTCTAATAAGCCATTAACAGCTGGATTCAATTAAAAAAATGTTGAAGCCAGCCAACACTGTGTTTCAGGGACAACTATTTATGATTTTCACAGCCTATAATTGACAAAGATTTTCCACTGAAGTAGGAGCAAGACAGACGTTTAACTTACCTTTTCTCCCTTCTGTCCTGGTGGGCCAACCACTCCATCAAGACCAGGAGGACCTTGAGGACCCTGTAGATGATATTATTATAAATCTAAATATGTGCCAGTTGAGATCCCTCTTCCGAGCACATGCATGTAAGTATTTTGGACCAACTGAGGATTCAGCACCAGGTAGCACCTAACATCATTAAGTTCTAACATTTGTATTTCCTGTCTTCTGAGAGTTTGGCTTTGTATCAAAACTGTATTTAAATATATTTTAATAGGAAACTATATCAAGCAGTCACAAAATAATAATAAAAAAATATAATCCAACATAATGTAAATATAATGCTAGCATGCAAAATAATGGTGCTATCCAAACAGGTTTTAATAACACCACTACAGATGTGATGGTATTGAAATCCACATGCACTTCAGCCATCCATGTTTTTGACAGCACCAGTGCGAGATGAGAAAGAGCTGAGAAAATGTTGGTGTTGACAAAGTCAGGCAGTGGCGCAGGTTTTCTGCGTGATGCTTCACTTTAATTTTGCCTTGAAAAATACATATTTAGTTCTCCACCCAGTTCTCTGTGTTGTATCCATGACTTAGCATGCATTTGAGTGAGCAGCCAGGCTGGAAAAAAATGCTTTGTAGGGTCAGACAGTCAATCAGTACAGGTACTGAAGTCTGGCCCAGGGTAACTAAATATGCAAGAAAGGGAACACTTTATATGCATATTTGCATGTCCTATGTTTTCAAAATTGGGCTCTGAAAGCCTTTATTTAAATTTAAAGGTGTGCATTCTGGCCTCTGAGAATCTTTTATCCATTTATTTATTTATCTGTTTTGGGGAAGGATATAAATTGTTGCAGAAGGAGACAGAAAACATTCCTTTTTTTCTGGTGTTTTCAGAATGGTCAAAGGCCTCATTTTCCCTGTTCTCATTACTTTCCCCCCCCTTGTTTTTGCCCTTTGAATGCACTGTATGTGATAAAATAACAAATTGATTTTTTTTAATATTAAAAAGATAAGAAATATTTTCAGTATGTTTCAAATATTTTCATATTGGGTTTTGCCATGATTACATAGAGGAGGGTTAGAGGAGAGGTTGGGCTAACAACAATAATTGTTCTAAAATATAGTGACCATTTCCCCTCTACTGCTTAACAATTTTAAGTTTCACTACTCTAAACCTGCTTATTTCCTTTACAACTAGCAAGATACACCTGGAGATTTTTTATTCACTTCAGGGTATATTCATGTATTTGTGAGCTACTTTAAAAAGAATTACCATAGAAAACATCCTTATACAATGTCAGGAGGCAATTTAACTTAATGTGGCATTTAGAAAATATGTATTTAATCAGATCAATATCACATCAGTATCAGATGTAATGTGGAGCAATTAGTGAGTATTGCCTGTTACAAAAGGCAGCCTTTACTCAAACATTTCCAAGACATGTTTCTCATGAGAAGAGATGTTACATAACAAAGTTCTTGATTTAGCAAGGACTTAAGCCCAAAACTTCAAGTAATTGTCTTGTTGTCTGGATTTAGAATTTGTAACTGAAGACTTTTAATTACACAGCTATTTCAGTGTGTTACTGAATGAGGATTCCCATCCAAATATTTCTGCTCTGAATAAACCTCACTTCACTTAGCCAGAGTGTGCAAATGTGTGCAAATATTTGGAGAGCAGGGATATAGTTTCTTAGGTCACCTGAAAGTGTGGGAATGCATGGGTCTGTACTGTTAATAGCTGGAGTTTTCTTTCAGCACCCTGAAGACTTATCATGGTCTGATTCTTCTGAAAATGTAGTTTAGTAGTATGGTCAACACTTAACTTCTACATTTCTAATTGATATCTTTCCTAGGAATTATCCTGAAAGTGAACAAAAATGATTTCTGTTGCATCACAAAAATGACTGTCTACAAGTAGTTTAATATTACAACCTGTGAAATCCTAGACTGCACAACAGGGAACACATACATCTTTAAAATAGAAGATTGAATCAATATATATTTCTTCATTTCCTTTGAATTCTTCTTACATTATTACTTTATGAAAAATTTTAACAAAATGTCCAGGACAATTCTAGTTACTTTGTTTTCTACAGATAGAGAAATGGCTACGGGCATGGTGTTGAAAGTACATTTTGAATAGAAAAGATGCTATTGTAGGGGATCTTTTAATCTAACATTGCGCTTTGTCAAATGCAGCAAATAAAACACTGGGGTAAATGTCTATTTTACAAGACCTGCCAGTGGATTTTCTTAAAATTGCAGTCATAATCATCAATACAATATGATCTGTCTTGGTCCAGGAAAAAAAAAAATACTGTTGGGCACACAACTCTTAGATGAAATCTGGCCAGAATTTCAAGCTTTTGTATTTTAGAGCACCATCTTGATTACAAGTAGATTCAAAGAGTAATGGCTGCAGCAAGGTCTGTATGATTTGTTGTACCAATAGAGATGGGAAAAGGGAGGGAAACTGAGGCCCATGTATTTATTTTTAGAGAATCACACTTCTGCATCTATTTGTTTACATCATAAAAATATATCCCAACCCATTGTACTCTATTTAAGCTGTTGTGGGGGAATTTTCCACCTTCCAAATTTCATGAATCATTCCTAGGAAGGCTAAAGCCCATATGTATTTGAAGTTATTATCTCTTAATTACTTATTTTTCAGATATGCTGTAAGTTTATATGGGTTTTGGCTTTGTTTGTATCTCAAGCATGAAAAGTAGTTGATATTGGTTTTGATCATTATATCTCATGTTGAAGCTGACTGCCTGAATGTGATTAATATCTTTGGAGGTTTTTTACATCTTTAATTTTTGCTTTTCTGTTATTGATCCTAGGCTCTCTTTGTATTTTTGTTTTTAGAATTTTTATCTAAATATAAAGAATATCCTCTTTCATGGGAAATTATGCCTGATCATAGAGCAGACTGTCTCTGATAGATTAAGCTAAGCATCTTAATGTTACTGAAAAATGGTTTTCTATTTTAAATATATGAGCACTCAGGAACAACCCTGCTCTGTATTAGAGGACAGAAGACCTCCAATTATTCTCTGAGGATACTGTGGTTCTGAGAAATGTTTCAAAAATAGGCATTTTCATGACAGGTCTCTGCAGGACTTTTCAGAACACTTGATACTCTCCTAACTCCCAGAGGATGTGATTTATTTTAGGTTCAAGCCAGTTATTCAGTGACTATATAGGCTAGAAATAACTTACCTTTAATAAAATACAAAGTCAGGAAATTAATTAATTGAAAATAAGGAAAGACTGGCCAGGCACTGCATTTATGTAGTAAAGCTATGCCTTTTCCCTGATTATATTCTATAAAGACCACTGTTCATGCTTAAAGTGAGACAAAAGGTACAATGAAGTATATGCCTAAACCACTGCAGTGCCATAGTCTTTAGCACTTGCTGTTCTCTTAGTCCGAGCTATTTGCGGCACTTAGTGGGAAATATTTAGGGCACATCTTAAAAAAACCCCACTTCAACGAGTTTGTTATTACTCTCCAACAATGTTACAGTGTTGAAATATTATTGTAAGTCTGGCAACACTGGATATCCTCCCCACAGTCAGGTGAGAATCTCAGCTTTTAGGTGAAAGAAGTTTCTAGCCTTTTTGGTTACAAATAAATCAACCCCCAAACATGAAAACGTGTTTGTTAGATACCAAATTTCACAGTCCAAAAAGCAAAAAAAGACTCGTGAGACTGATCTCATAGATTCTCAGCCAAGCTTATGATTTTAGGGAAATAATAACCTGATAATAAAGAAACAAATAAATTTAACAAGTAAACAAGCTCTGTCCTGGAGTCAAGTACTGTGATAAACAGTAACCTATCCAGTTGTACTGGGTCTGGCTGAGCCGGAATTGTTTGTCCCCTACAGCAGCCCTCACGGTGCTGTGTTTGATGCTGGGAGCTGGCAGGGTGTTGATGGCACCCTGGTGTTGTGGCTGCTGCTGAGCAGTGCTTACACAGCACCGAGGATCTTTCTGACATTTCCCCCACAGTGGGACGGGGTGGACAAGATCTTGGGCGGGGACACAGCCAGGACAGCTGACCCCAACTGCCCAAAGGGATATTCCAGGCCATAGGACATCTGCTCAGTATAAAGCTGGGAGAAAGGAGGAAGGGGGTGGGGGCACCCTTGGTCCTCCGAGGCAACCACTGCGCGTATCGGAGCCCTGATTCCTGAGAAGGCCCCACGTCACCTCTTCATGGGAAGGAGAGAACACATCTGTTTGCTTTTGCTTCTGCGCACGGACCTTTGCTTCTCATTGCTTATATTAAAACTGCTTTTGTTTTACCCACAAGGGTTGGTTTTGTTCTGATTTTATTTTTCCTATCTTATTTTCTTTCCCTTCTTTGCCCTGTTGAGAAAAAAAGAGGGGAGGGGGGGAAGTGATAGAGTGACTTGGTGGGTACCTGGCATTTATCCAAGGTCAAACCACCACACTGGTGTTGGTCTGTGCTCATGAATGAGCTCTTCATCCTTTCATTGTCAGGGTGGGAGGGTCTAGCATATTGTAAAGGATTTTGAAAAAGACTGAATGTGCTGTGGAAATGTTTCCCCTTTGCAGTCAATGCAGAAAACATCCAGGAAGGCCTGATAGGCCTAGTGAACAGCAAGATAAGCAAAGCTTGAGGAAGGCAAGCTAAGGAGTGTGCCTAGGATGCAGGACACTGGAAAGCTGCTGTCAGTCCACCTACAGCTCTTTTCAACTAAGCCATGGGCCCTTCAGGCCTTAATTCCTTAATTAGAGTAATTAAGAAAAGGAAAGAATGAAAAAAGGTTTCCTGCTATCTTAGCCCTTGGGTTGTTAAGGGCAAGTTTCCTAATAACTAGTGGGGCAAGTGTGCTCTCAATACAACCTTTTGTCCCGCTCCCTACATCCTCTAGACCAGACATTTCTTTCATTCCTAGTCATTGGGACTTTCTTCCAAGGAAACCATGCTGTAGAATGATGTAGGTGGAAAGGCATTGTAGATAGCTGGGTCTTACCCTTTTATGCTATCAGGAAATGACAAGGTCAGCAATCTAAAACACAGAAGCACACCCAGGCCCTACAGCTTAGACATGTTTAATGAGATGGAAGCTACTGGAGCTCCAGGTACATGTAAGGCTTTTCCTTGCAGGATATATCAGCAGTGCATTAAATTAGCCAGGTTGTCAATGTTGTTGTAGCAGCATGAAGTTCAGTGCAGAACAGCCTTGTTGGTTTTGTGGCTGTCAGGCTCTGAGCTCCATGATGCTTGCTGCATGAGCAATGTTGACTACTTCCATGCTTACCTGAAGCCAGTCTACAAGAACTGGCCTATGCTACTGTAACTGCAGGACAAATGTGTCCTGAGTGCATCTTGTTGTTGGATCAGAGGCTAACTGTATATAGTACTGAGAACAAACCACCGAGAATGCAGAACATGATCTTACCATATTATTGCATAAAACCATTGAAAAATCCATTGATTATCTCTAGAAAGCAAAGAATAACAGAAAAAAAAGCACAATGTTTGCAATACACTAATAAAAGTTTGATATTTATTTTCAAATTTAAGTCTGTAATATATTTCTAAGGTTCTACAAATTTAAGTCTGTAATATATTTCTAAGGTTCTACAACTGTTAATTATGATACAACGTAGTTTTCAAAGCTCCTTTGCATACACAGAGAAGGCCTTTTCTGAAACAAGTCAGTGAAACATACCTGGATGAAAAATACTTTTTGAGCCTACTTCTGTGGTACCAGGTTATTTCACCTTAGTGAAGTATCTCATTAGCAGGCCAGAATGACTAACTGCTTTATACCTATATAATTAACCTATAAATTAACCTATAAAATTGTAAAACAAAAGGACATTGCAGTTTTAATAACCAAGCAAATACTCAAAACACAACCAAAGCCCTTGAGTGCAGCAAACACTGAAACTGCGTGTAGCACAGCAAAATAATGGTCCATGTACAGCTACATCTTCTGCACTCTGTTTATCGCAGCTTTAATTTAGTGAGGTTCATAGGGATACAGTCTATTTCAAGAGGGAACACTGAAACTTTGAAGTCTGAAAATTACCCTGATTTCTGTCCTATGTGGAGTGGACACTTCATCTTGCAGGGGCCTAAAGTTTGGATGAACAAAAATTTGTGATACTTACAATTTCTTGTAACCTGAGAGTATGAGACCCAGCTCCTGACAGAAAAGGACTAGTTTTCAGGATAGGGGCCTGAGGTATTGGATGGGTGTACCTCCTTGCGGATCTAAGTAAGATATAACATACAACTCAGGCTATTCTCAGTGTTTCCCTACAGGCTACTTATGTCATCAGCTCTTGGTTTTCATTGCTTTGCCATGCACATGCTTCTTGGATCCTATTTTAAAGATTTCAAGTGCTTAATTTCTCTCTGCACAAAGGATGCTGCCTTCCACCTTGATGGCCAGACAAAATTTACTGTACCTACATTTTTAGATTTTGTATTAAGTCCTGACTTGGTTATTGTCAAAAAAACCCAGCACAGCTGAGATGCAGTGAGATCTCCTCTTTAACATGTGTCACCAATACACTTTAATATATGCTGATTACACCTTGTCAGATAAAGCAATGGTGATGCACTTTGAAGGTAATGTGAATATATAGATCAATTCTAGTCCTGAGAACAAGTGCTACTGACAGATGGTTGATAAGAAATAAGGGAACCATATTAGTAAATATAGTTCCAGAGAGGATTCACAGAGCTGATCAATGATGAAAAAAAAATATTTTCTTTACTAAAAAAACATTTTACTGAGGATTGGTTAACAGTTAACATCCAAACTTTCAGCAACCCTTTTTTTACAGTAGAACTCTAAATAAGTGTTTCTACATAGCTGAAGAAAGAAGAGAGTTCCTGAAAGAGAAACATTCAATTTATGCTAAAAATTCCCTGCAGATTATGTAAGTGATTTAGTAATTTTCCTGAAAGCACCACAGGAAAAAAAATTCTCATCCTTATTCAGTGTTGGTAAAAGCATCCTTACTTTTTATTTATTCTGTTACATTTTTATCAATATCTATCTGCCAAATGTACATCTCGCTGTGGAGTAATGTGCTTTGGTTAACTAGATGTTCATTTGGTTATTTTTTTTTGTAAAAAATGTGCATAAAATCCAAGCTCTTCAATTAAAAATATTCTTCAGTATTATTAAGAATTATACAGACTGTAAGCCTTAGAACTTAGTGTTGTAGGACAGAAATGACATTAACATTTGTGCACAAACGGATACTCACTTCAGGGCCTGGTTCACCAGAAGCTCCATCTTCCCCTGGTGACCCAGGAGGTCCTACACCTGAATGGGGTGCTGGCTTTCCTGGAAGGCCAGGCAGTCCTGGAGGGCCTGGTGGCCCAGGAAGACCCTGGATAAATCAGCAACAGTATTAGAAATTGCTCTAAGCAGGTTCTTTTGTATATATGTGGAACAGGAAAAGCTCACACAGAATGTTCAGGTTCATAAAACGCTCAGCTTGGTTTACCATCACCCTTCTGCTTCATTAAGAACCAACTGTAGTTTAGACCCTTACGGAGGGTCACATTGACCTCCCCCATCCTTGCCACCTCATGGCATGCAATAGCAAGCAGTCAGTTAAAAACCAAAAAATGTTGTCAGCTCTATGTAATCCAGTAAAGACCTTAAAGATATCCCAATGATCAACTTAGTATTAAGAAAATTAACCAAAGTGAAACCAAGGGATCACTGAACAGAGGGAAGTGGTTAGTTTTTTCTCTACTCATTTCAAAGGGTTTCTCCATGCTATTGCTGGGTCACTGAGAACTTTGACTCATGGCAAAGACCTGACTGTGTTTATTGCTGTAAAAATGGCCACACATTTATCCTGCATGGACATGAACAGATCTATTTAAATTGAGTAAAATGAATGAAATATGTTACTTTAGGAGAAATAATACATTTGCAAATGTCAAATAACAAATATCTCATGTGCAAATCTATCCTTGTTACTGTTTAGCAGGCAAACATGAACAGTTTGAAATTTTGGAGCATGGCACTGTAAGGCAAGAACTCTAATTTTACTTAGAGTTATCTACAGTATTCTGTTAGGATGATGGTCATCTTGGATTTTCAGTACAGTCAACAGAGCCTTCTGCAGGGAGCTATTTCAAGCACTCATCTGTCTTGTTAACGACATAGGGCATCTAAAGGGCCTCTAAATTAGGCAAGATAACTAACTTTCAGCACGTGGCAATTCTTGCCTGAAGAACCTTGGGAATAAAGTATTTGGCACTTTGGAGGAAAGAAGAAACAGAAGAGAAGTCTTCTGTGTCTCTGAGAGAATGAAAGATATCACTAGATGTGTTGCAATACAGAGGCCTTAGAATGCTATGGCATTCTGAAATTCATAGGAGACAGGCATCCAGGAAGTTAATTCTTCAGAAAGCTGCAGTATTATTGAGGAAACAGCTTCAAATCAAAGGGTGGAAATGCTTCATCCCAAAGACTGCATAAAAGATTATGTTTCACTCCATCTAGATGGATCAGTAAAGGCCGCCTCATTTATGTCTCTTCATCTTCAGCCACCTGACCTCATTTTCCTAACAGTTGTCCTTATCTGTAATATATTGCCTGATTCATTATATATCTGACTGGTTCTGTGGGTGGAAAACCACATTATTTGAAACTGCAATACATATTTTATAGACTGCTACTTGGATTTTCAACAGAAACATGGTAAAAGTAGATCTGGCTGATTGTCTGGAGATAATGGGTGAAGAAGTGTCTCAAGAACGAAACAAAGCATAAAAAATAATTCCAGATCTGGCAGCAAGTTCTAGTCGATTGATGTTATTTTCTAAAAAAACTCACATTGTTCTGTGCAGGATATGTAGGAAAGATATCCTCTCTTCTGAAAACAACAGTCCAGAAAAAAATAAGTAGAAAAAGATCCCCACTTCAAATGTTTCCTTTGCCACTTTATGGCTCAGAAGCAGAGCGAGAAAACCAGGCCAGACGTCCCATTTTTAATCCAGCCATGCTCATCTAAGTACTGTCTCTCAAAATATGTGAACTCTCTTTGAAGGGGAAGCACAAGAACAATGTACCATTTCAATCCCTAAAACAAATCTTACTTGAGGCTGTTGACACATAATGCTAAGAGTGACAGACTAAGCTAAAATGTTAAGCCAGTACTCATCATCCTACTTGTTTTGCTCTGCTCCTGGAACCTGCTGATCCCAAGCACAGCTGAAAGCTCATGAATCAGCTGCATTTGACAGCACAGCTTACTGAAGTGAACTGAAATTGATGCTGACTTTCCTGAATATTATGTCTGCAAAATTAAGCCGTTTCACAAGACAAGTAAATTCTTTCTGAAGCTGAGATTGACACCTCCAGGAGCAGGATGAGGACAACATCTAAGGTGGCAACTACTTTGACTGTACCAGTTTAACCAGTGGCCAAGTAGGCGTTGATAGACCAAGAATTGGGTTTACCTGACATGAATACTCCTTCCCAATGACAGCATTCTCGTCTCCCATATCATACGGGCCAGAGACCTCACTGAGGAACATGTACTGACACCTTTTAACTTTCAGTAAGCCAAAGTGTCTCTGTGCTATGACATGACAGTGTTACAGCTGTTCACAAAGGCAAGGATACAAGGAAGTTCTAATGACCATCAAAATGGATCAATAGTGGAAGTTCCAGTGTAAAGTACTTCACACAGACAAACTTATTTTTTAGAACAGGTACTACAAATCAAAAAAAGCAAAGAATAGTATAATTCCCATTTCTCTCTTTACTGTCTTCTTAGAATCATATTAAAAGTGTTTTCTCATTTTAAGAAGTCCTCTTGCCATTATTTCTTTGTTGTCCTCTTCCTTTCTCACACTTCTTCCACACTCACATACACCTAAGCCTTTTCAGATCTTGAAATGAAAACTTACAAAGCATTTCTGGATGCTGTGAATTTATCATGTACAAAATTTGCATTGTGAAATGGACTTTCTACAGTCTGGGTGAGAAAAGTAAAACTTTGTTATGTTAATGAGAAATAAACATAAATATATACTTACTCTTAAAATCTCAGTCTCTTTGTCAATGTCTCCAGAACCTGATTCTTCAGGTTCCAGTCTATTCTGAAATTAGGAGAACTCTATTTTAAAATATTGCTTCTAAAGATGACAGCTGAAAATATCACTTGTCAATTGCTGCAAATACAGTTATGATCGATATCCTTGCAGAAGACTGTTACTGGTGAAATAAATTATAATACAACAAAAACATTTCAGTCAGGTTTCTGGTCCTTCATACCACCTTATTTTGTTGACACTCAGCTCTGTATTTGCCTGCAGATGCTCTATGAGAACAATGAGAACAATCTGCAGTACACACATGCTATGTGACTGTTTAGTAAACTGAAGATGAAGCAATATCTCTGACAAATTTTATCTTTGGAAAGATACCTGTCAACATTAGAAATATCCTAACATGCATACCTAACATCTAGCCACTGTTTCCTAGAATGTGCCTCAGTTCAAAAGCCAAATTCTGGGATTCCTACAACTGGAATCTAAAAAGGCACTTTATAAAGAGAAATTAACATACTAAAGCATTCTCTAAAACATTTTGTTAGAAAACCAGTTTGGGTTTAGTATCGCAATCTAGTTGTACTCATCTATAAGAAAATACAATAGATTCAAGGTTCCTCAGCTTCAATATATGTTCTCATATTATGGAACATGCAGTGCAAACTACAGCCAGCATGCATACTGTCAAAGAATTTTCTTAAACCTCTAAAGAAAAAGAAGTATTTTTCCTTGAAAATTTGCCATGATTTGTCTGCATAGCATATTTAGCAAAGTGAAGTCCAGTTATCCGTTTTCTTAAATTATAGCGACTTTATAAAGTTTTATAGAACTCATAATGCTAAAAATTAAAAGGAATAAACCAACCTGGCAGTTGAAATATGACTTTTCTACATGTGTGAGTTCCACCATATTTAAAATGAAATAATGTCAACTCATATAAAAGTAAATTAACTAGAGATTCCCGTTGGAAGTCCTTGGTGAGTTTCACAGCTGTGTATGCTTTGTAAACTACACCCCCAAAGTACACAGAGAACTAGTATCTGAATCAGTTACAATAGTACCAAAGCTAATGTTTCAAGAGCCCAGGAATCAGGGATGCATTCCTTGGCTGCACTGAGACTCCTTTCACTTCACTCCAGAGTAAAAAGTGTTGGAACTTGCTATCACAGACAACAAAAAAGTAAAGGTGGTGCAGGATCTGTTGTTCACTGCTACATTTAGAGAAATCACCTTTGGGCGGACTGGAGCACCTTGTCCTAGTGATCTGGATCTGCCTTGATGGGCTCTTGAAGTCAGTATCAGTGGCAGCTAAATTGTGCAGCCCTTCATAACATCGTTACTCTATTTGTTTGATACAGAAACATATTGGTGTGATTTAGCAGACCCTAGATCAGGGGAGCATATAATCCATTTTGGTCACTGGAATATGTTGCAAACTATCTTTTTTAAATGTTCACAATATTCAGTGTGACAGATATTTTTTCAAAGTTCACCACAGGACTTCCACTGGAGTCAGCGGTGGGCTGTGTCTTTGTATAAAATCAGCTTCCACATCATGAATTGAAAATTCCCAGCCAGATTCCTTCTTCAGCTGCATATACATGTAACCTCATGAAAACAGTGGGAATGGTCCAAGTGCAGAAGAGAGATGCATCTGAAATGTATTCTTTAATATTGCCTAAGTACTGAGCATGCAAAATACGAACATTGTCACCACACTGGTACGTGCTGTAGTATTTAATGACAGCAAACGCAAGTGACTGGCAAACCATTTCTGTGTTCAGTAGCAGGAAGAAATGAATAATTCAGGTTTATAAAGCCCTTTTGATGATATTTTTGTCTCTTGTTATACCATATATTACTGGTTTTGCACAGGAGAGCACACACATGGACTGGCTTTTTAGAATGTGAATACTGTCTATCTGATTACAGTACTCACACCCTTTAGCCAGACATTTATTTGCATTTCTGCATGAGTGTTTTAGAAAAAAATTATTGTCTCTGTGGCAGTCAGGCTACGTTCCCAGGGAAAACCTCCTATTTAGTTCTGAATTCCTCTATGGCAAGCCTAGCTCATTGACAGAGAACCCCAAATACTCACTAATCCTCTGGAAGGAGCAGATGGTCCTGTGGGTCCAGGTGGTCCAGGGGGTCCTGGCAATCCCTCACCAGGATCACCCTAAAACAGAAATGAAGGTAAATCAGGCAGGATTTAATCAGATAAAGGCAGAGCAGGGCTTTTCAGCAATAGCTTCAATCTGTGTGGGTTTCTAGTCACAAGAAGCAACAGAAGTGTCTGCTTAAATGCTGTGAGCAGAGTTGAACTTTGTTCATTTCTAAGACAAGCTCCCAAGAAACACGATCTTTGCATTGGCAAAGGAAGAAAGGGCTTTTCCCTTTCTAACTTCTGCAATGAATTTGCAAATGTACAAGTAGTATTAACAGCATAAGACAGAGTATATTTATTGTCAGAATAGTTTTATTGTGAATCTTGCATTTTTAGGTTTCATTATATGCCCCTGCCCACAATAAGTAAATAAGTAGAAAGCGTGGTGACACCATGGTACTCAATAACTAAATTTCTTGATTTTACTTCTACCATCTGTAATGCTTTTTCCAATACTGCTATGCCATGATTATTATTCTATGTGTTGACCTTTATCTACTGCCAACACAATGAAAGGCCCTGTTCAGAACGGTGTCATTTTCTCTCATAATTACTACCATCTCTTCTTCTTTGGCTTTCTTACATCATCTCTGACATTTTCCTGAGGTTAATTTTAAGTGCTTCTGTTTAAGATATTTATGACTTTTATTAAATGTTCTGCTCAACTCCAACATTTTTCACTTAAGTCAAGAGTTGAGATTCTACCTCAACTTTTCTAATCATATGTTGGAACTCTTTTATAATGTATCTTTTTATTCTCGACTATCTATGTGCCTTTCTCTGGAGAATTCACTAAGCCTTTGTGTTTTAAACTCTTTTGGGAGAAGGATGTGCCTCTGCATCCCCTAAAATGGGGCCAGTGGGATCAAGACTAACTGGCAGACCAAAACATCATGATTGCTTAATAAGTATGTTGTTTTCATCAAATGATTGGCACTCATTTAATTTCAGTTTTTGAAGTCTTGTATACCTCTAAAAGTAATTGATCCCGCTTACTTTTTGCCTGATACATCTGACAGAGGGAATTCCAGGAGAAAATACAGTGTCCTCTCCCTTTCTGGCTGTCTCACATTTCTTGCCTTTGGTATTCAATAACTGCAATTCACTGTTCTGAGGAGTTCCTTAATGTGCATTTTGGACATTCTTCCTACATGATGATCCTGGTTTCAGGACAGATGTACATTTAGATGGGAAGAGCAAGCAATGTAACTACTCATATCCCAGAGCTTCTCTCACCATTGCAAGTGAAAAGCTCAACCTTTCCTCTACCAACGCTTTCATGTAGCACAAATTTCTACACACCCATTCTGACACTGCAGAGCTGCAAAGCGTGATCTCCTTCCCACCATGCACCAGTAAGAGAGAAACCAGACTGGCTGCACTGAGCTTTTTTAAAGAGGTAGAAGTCACAGAGACATAACTGACACTGGTAGCCAGCCTCTACTGATCTATGCTTTACCCTCTAACCTGTCAATTTGTTTTCTGGGCTTAGGAGAATTTTAATTATGTTCTCTAAATTCATATATTCAGTCACATAGCAGGAAACATGGAATTTTACCTGCCTCTTGGTCACTTGCTCTTTATGCTTGAGAATTCATTAGATGAATATATTCATTCATTTCTTTGTTCCCCGTGGCTTTGCCAAATGGTTCCTATAGTGATACTTCAGTCATATTCACAGAGAATGTGTTTAATTAACTTGGGGCTATTTTCACTGTCTGCCAGCATGTTCATTTACAGATACTCTTCATACATTTTAACATATCCTTTGCCTTTTTTTTCATTATTACATTATTACATTACATTGATTATTACATTAGCTCCTGTCAGTGTTTTGTGCTTGTTTTCATGCAGTTTCTTCTACTTTGTGTGTACTACAAGGAACAAAAAACCCCCAGCTCTCACATTTGGATCAGTCATGACTAGGAAGCCTCATTTTATCCATTCCCAAGGAGCATCTCATGTCTGTATCTCTGCACTGAGTAAGGACCACAGTGAAAAAGTGACAGCCAGCTCCTCACTTTTCACTGATACGTAGTGCCCCATTTATTCTGAACTTTCCATTTTCAGTGAGAACCACCAGAGACAAGCAGGTGGGTCCTGCTACTGTTCCTCAGATTTAAATATTATTATGCTGAAAAAGTGCTGACTCTCTTTAGTTTGAATACTTGCTTAGTATTCAAACCTAGCATAACTGGTTTGAATTATTTTGTGTGTGTACACAGGTCTATTTGTTAAGCTTTGCTCACCATACCAACATAATGGGTCCTAGGAAATCACACTGATTGGGAAAATGAAATAATTTTCTGGAAAATTAATAATTTAAAAATTATTCACATGTCTAAAAGAGGATCAGAGCAGTGTCTTCTTGATTGTTCTGCTTTCTGCTACAGGAACTGTGTCTGGCTAAAGTGTCTCCAAGAGAAAGCTCTGCATATGAAGCTATGAGTATTCCATAGTGCTTTTGAACATATTAGGATTTTTAGCACCTGTTTGCTGACTAATCTTCACAATGACTCTTTGAAGTATCCCTTGAAAATACTAGCCCGATTTTAAAAATGTAAAACAAAGCTTAAGTTATCTTAACTAAAAGAGTCATATAAGTAATCAGGAATAGACTACAGGAGTCTTTTGCTTCCAGATATAGCTTTTTCTTGCTACAGCTAAGCTGCTTCTGCTGACAAAATGTTCTTCTGATTAAAATTCTATTCAATAAAATAAGGCTGGGAACCATTCTTTGGCCCCGAGGTCAGGTAGAACAGACTGGCTGTTTTCACAGTACTTATGTTCTTGGCCCTGGACCTCCTTTTAGCCCTATATGTTCAAAGCTAAAATTTGAGTAATTTTCTGCAATTTTCATGAAATAACATGAGAACTATACTGCAACCCATCAACATGATGAGTATTTGAAAGTAAAAATTCTGCTGGGATAGCACTGGGGAAGCATGTAGAATGAACAGAGCCGACCTATGCACAGTATTATCTTGCAGCATCTTGGGAACAGTTACCAACCAGTGCTACCCCTGAATAATGCTGAGGCATTATCTGAGAGAGGTCTATTTGACATGGGCCAAAACATCATCAGGGATCATGCTCATAAGTCTGAACCATCAACAATTCAGGCAGTTCCTGGGCCTGTTTAATTTGGCAGTGTAAATGTAGCACTTGTTGCTGGAGATCAAAATAGTTACCTAACAACAGTAGCAGCTGCAGCAGCTGCAAAATAAAGCTTCTTTTGCTAATGTGCCCTTTGCTTCTGAGTAGAAGAAATGTAAACAACCATTATCTTGAAATCTTTTCCATTTGCTTTGTTTCCATTAAAAGCAGTCTGACTGATTTTATGGTTTATTAACATGAATTATTTCTGTCATATTCCAAGCATCCTGGAAATGACTCTGGTCACAAGAATGACCAAAGCAGATTTGCAGGAAACTTGGGAAGCCAATTGTCAAATAGATGATTAGGCCATTTTTTTCCAGCTTTTTCACTGCGTGATTGACACATACTATAGAGGAAATTGAGCCTTTGCTAGAGGGGCTATAGAAGTTTCACAGTGCAGAACCAAAGGAGGCTCCTGTCAAGTGTCCCTAGAGAGGGAAGGTACTGTCCAAATCAGCTCTGTATCAGGAGCGAAGAATGCAGAATTAGCTAAATGGGGAGAGTTATAGAAAACCATGGACTACAGACACCTGTGCAGCTCCTGGGCTACATCAAGAGATTCTACTTCTGCTCAAGGGCTTCAGCAAGTCACAGAATCACAGAATCAGCTAGGTTGGAAAGGAATTTGAAGATCATCTAGTCCAACCTTATGGAAAGGCTGACAAGTGTGTAGACATGTCATGAAGTATTGTCTATATTCTAGACACAAAGTGTCTGAGACCAGGGCCAGCTCAAAAGAAAGCATGAATCCCTGCCACCAATGGGACTATGCAAGATGATACATTTCTTCTCAGAGACTGCTGTACCACATGTTATCAAGCTTAGGAGGAGGTATTATTCCTGCATATTACTGTTCCAGTGATGGCTCTCCAGGAGCAGATCAGCCATTTTTTTCACCCTGTCATGCAGTCCAGTCATGCAAGGGAATAGTCAGTTGGTAGGCTCTGGATTCCATGTAGCTCCTGGGGCAAAATCAGTCTGTCCCTCCCACAATACAGTGAAGTGCTGTTCTCTGGATACGGTGTTGTCCAAAATGGGCAATGACTATGACATCAATTCCTAACATCTATTGTTCATCACTCAAGACCTTCTTGACTTATTTGTTGCAGAATATTTTTCCTTGAACCATACCTAGCCTTTGAGTTATACCAAGATAATTAATTATTAATATTACTTATAGAATTACTGTTACTAGTAAAACCTAGAAACTGTATATTACTATTCTCGGTGTTGTCTGTGTGATTTATCTTATAAGCACTCAACTTTTGGTATGATATGAAAATATGACAGAGGTTATTCAGAAAGGAAGGAAAAATTATCTCATCACAAAGAGTGTTGTGGTATTTACCTGACAGCTTATAGTACTGAATACCACATAAGTCATAGCAGTGACATCTATGTACACACTCAGTAGTGATTTTGAGGGACCCATTAGGGTAGGCACAGTTTTAGGTACATGACCGCTACAAATCAGTGCATGTTACTCGTTCTAGCTTTGGAAACCTTAGCCTAGTCTGTCTTGTACTCTAATAGAATAATGAGTTATGTCACACTACTTAGAGTATGATACTGTTAAAATGTATCTAGAACTGCTGTAATATTTTTCAGGTGAGACTAATGGCACTGCAGTTCTTGGTGGTATCACAATCACTTTCAGTGTCTGAACCACAGAACAGTTAGATGATACCATGTACCAATTTCTGCGTTGCTAACAGGTTGAGCGAGGTGATCCTTCTGCTCTACTCACCTGAAGTACTGTGTCCAGGTTTGGGGTTTCCAGTACAAGAAAGATAAGGAGCCCAGTTAAAGGCCACAAAGACAACGGAAGGACTGGATCTTCTGACTTATGAGGGGAGGCTGAGAGAGATTAAACTATTTAGCCTGGAGAAAAGATGACTTGGGAAGATCTTGACAATGTCCATATACATGTGATGGGTGGAAATGAAGAAGACAGACTTTTCTCAGTGGTATCCAGGGAAAGGACAAGAAGGAATGGGCATAAATTGAAATAGAAGAAATTCCATCTAAATGTAGTGCTCCCCCCGACTTTGTTTTTCCACTTTAAGGATGATCAAATACTTGAACAGGTTACACAGAGAGGTTGTGGAATCTCCATCCCTGGAGATATTAAAACAAACTGTACACAATCTTAGGCAACCTGCACTAGCTGCGTCTGCTTTGAGCAGGGGTGCTGGACTAGATATTCTCCAGAGAGGCGTCTCCACCTCAATGATTCTGGGATTCTGTGTTCCATGTTGCAGGCTTTAGCACTGACCGAGATGTAAGTAGCACCCTCTCAAAGTCCTCCACCAATAGCACAGTCCTTAATCTGGAATTTATTTCTCATTATTTTTTCCCTTGCAGTCTAGAATCTTCAGATTTCTGCTACCAAACTCTGCCAGTGCAGTCCAGGGTTGGGGATAGAGTGAAGAGTGGGGAGGAATGGAGAGACAAAGTGGAAACAACTCCATCAAATATGTCCTTTGCTGATCTAAGACTGCTCAGAGTTTTCAGAAATGAGGCTCTGAAGTGCCTGTACAGAGCACCTGTAGTGCATGTTGCCAACTGATTTAATGTCTTACTGATAATCTACTTTCCCAGTTTATCTTCCCTGAAGAGCCTGTATCCATACACTACAGTAGTCTAGCTGTGAGTTATCCTACTATGTCTGTAGCCTCAGAGAGATGATAGCCCTGTAACTGTGCATGAACTTCTAAGTGCCCCTGTTTGTCTCCCATGCTGCCTGCTTCTGTGAACAAGTTCCTGACATGGGTCCCAGACATGCTGCTTTCACCAGGGGAGTGCAAGAGTGTTCCCCATCCTGTTGTATCTGAGATGCTGCCTAACTGCCTGACATACCTTCACTTCTCTACAGCTTATGGTAAGCCTTTATCCAGCAGTCTTGTGACCTGATGCCTATAGTGGAGACTAATTTTACCTTTGAAACGATTCTGGATCCTTTCAAATTGAATCTGAATACATGAGATTTATAAGAGTTGTAATGATGAGTTTATGAAGCCTGAATTGTTTTGGTAAACGGATAAAATGACTTATTAATTTGGCTGGAGTTACTGGCTGTGTGCCAATTTTATGTACAGCATGTTCTTCAATGATAGATTAATCCATTACAGCTCATTTCATCTCAGAAGTGATACAAGTTGTTTCTTCAGAGGGTTTCACTCTTATTTCAATTATGTTTGTTTCATGAGGGTAATATGATTATACTGCCTCTGTTAAATCACTTAGCCAGTAGAGTAAGTTGCACAAATAAGTAATATATAACAATCGACTTATCTTTATTAATAGTTAAATATATCTTCCTTAGCTCTCCTGTGAAAGCTCAACTTTTTCTACTGCTGAAGTTTATTCATATTCTTGAAAAATCCTTATGATTCTGTTATGGCTGCCCTTTATGCAAATTCATGGGTGAATGGCAGGATATTATATTCTTCCTGTGATTCCCTATTATTATTATTATTGTTATTATTATTATTATTATTATTATTAATAATAATCTTCTCTTGGAATGTACCAATTTAACTCATGTCCAAGCATAAATGGGTTCTGATTGATTGTGAGTTATTAACAGGACACATACCTTTTCACCTTTTAAACCTGCTTTTCCTTTCAGTCCTGGCAGTCCCTGAAGTCCATTTTTACCCTAAAAGGAAATAAATTTTTAAATTATTCATTATGTTTTATGCAGGTTAAACAGTCTGTACAGTTAGCAGCAGAGGCTGGATGTAAGGGTTGTAGATTCTAACTCTTGGTTTGTGCAGTGGGAGGAGATATGGGACTTAATGGGACTTACACCTCTATGCAGTTGGCAGTGCACAAAATGTGCCGCTTACCACATCTACTCTGCTCACAACAAAGTGGGAGTGAAGCCTGTTTGGGAGATACAGATGGCAACACTTGGCAGGCTGCTTTTGGATTTGACACGATGCTAACTGGACCACACAGTTCTGATGACTATATTTTGAAAACTATAATGTTCCACTGGAACAAATAGTGTCTGAAAAGCCTTCTTCAAATTTTCTCTGTTTTAGCCATTTACTTATCTAAGAGGTAAGAAAGTGTTCATTTATTCAAAAGTTGCTGAATATGCTTACAGCAGGTAAATTCCGAGCTAGAATTCTGCCTCTTCCCTAACAACTTTAAAACTATGAGAAAAGTGACAATTGGAAGAAATCTACTGTAGATTTCATACAAAAGTGATAGGCAACAGAGAATAGTGGGATATATTTGTCACATGCTACTGCAAACTGCTGCCTTGAGTGCACCAAATCATACCATTAGGATCAGCTGTTATCACCTTCTACAGAAATCCTTTTGCCTTGATCCACCTGAATATATTCAGTTCCTACTAAGTAGGATGCTTCCTGAGGACATACACCTGGCAGGGAATATGTGGTACTACATAGCATTTCACCCCATTTTCCATTCTAAACTTCACCGGTCAAATTAATCTTAAATAACCTTTCTATATATGTTCATCTTATCTACATGTAACATGCATATGGTCTTCCTATGGAAGCTTGATCCTTGGCTAGGAAGAACTCCCACCAGCTTTAAAGTCAGTGCTATTTATGAATTCAGTTAGGACACTGGAATAAAAATTCAGAAGGCAAATAAATTCTCTTTTCCTTAATGGCATTTTGGAAATCTGGACAGGTGTGATTATGGATGCTGCTGCTCAAGTTTTAGGTCTGTCCTGATTTTAAAGGTGGGTTATATAAGCTTGTTATGGAGAAAATTTTATCAGTAAGATTAAAAAGTTTTTTTCTCCCATTATTATTTTTCCTGTAGAGTAGCTGGTATCCATTTCATTAAAAAGTGTCAAACACATGGCCAATATAAATCTAGCAGATACTAATTTTATTGCTGAGTAAAGCCTCATCAATCCAATAGTAAAGTTGCATAGGTATGTACAAGATCAGAAACCAGCTGCACATGGGCAAAAGACTATGAAAATACAGGGCAACATTTCATTTCACGAGATATAACAAAATGTCTATGATAAGAAATAGGAATGTTTTACAAGGATTTGTTTACAAGGACAAAACAATTGCTTTCGAAGCATTTGAATAACATTTGCACAATTTTCTATAAGTCATTTCCCTGTTATTTTGGTTTCATAGAATTTTCTCTGAAAATGTTCTGTTTGAAAGTAGTTAGACTTCTGCTAATACAGAAAATATAAACCTCTTGTCCATAAATGCTCCAATGATACATAACCTGAATTTAGGCTAAATGTTTCCCAAACCAGCTACATTTCTCTAAGCATGCCAATGTATGCATGCAGGAGCAGAACAATGCATCCCATGAATGACTACTGAATTAATTTTTAATATCTTAAAACATACCATTTTCATTTGAGGTTCACTTGGAGAGGGCAGGAAGGGACAAGAAGTTCACAGCAGTGGTGCGTGGCAGGATACAAAAGGAGGAGCAGGCATGGTAATGATGACAGCCTCTGTGTGGGAAGATCTTAGCAAGGGGAAAGATGCACAAAGTGGCAGCAACAGATAGTGAGTAAGGAAACAAGGAAGCCAGGTAGTAAAGCTTCAACAGAGGGCAGATACACAACAGCAGTGGAGACACTCATGGAATTTGTTACTGTGTGCATTGCTAGGCAATTCTTCACCATGGAGGATGCATATGCAATCTATCAGCAGCTCATGGTGAACTGACCTATGGATGGGAGTTGTCTGGAGAAGGAAGGAAGGAAGAGCACAGGAAGATGACAGCAAATGTGACAGAAGAGAGGGTAAAATAGAAGAATGCAGATGAAGGAAAGCAGGAAGCCTGAAGCAGAAGGTGCAGCTGAATTGCTGCACAGGAGCTGAGGGGTGAGAAGTACATCTGCAAAATTAATAACAGCTGAGGTTAGGAGCAGGCAACCTGGCAGCATGTGTCTATGAAGGGTCAGTGAAGCATTTTGTTTTGCTGTGGAAGAGGTCTGGGTCTGAAGTATGTACTCTTTTTGAAGTTCCTCTCTGCAAAAAAGCCAACCTCACCAGAGCTGGACTCCTTGTATAGCTGCTTATGGCATGCAATACCTCTTACTTTCTTTGCAACTGGGAAATCATAAATTTCTCTTAGAAAGGGTCCTCAAAAGAGGGTCCCCCTCTCTTGGCAATCTGAGGGAGTCAACTACAGCGCCTGAGCTGCCTTCTAAAGAGAGCACACGGAGAAAGCACTTTGCTGCCTAAACTTCACTGTAGCTGAGTCTCTAGTAAAAAGATGTGTTGTGGTTTGGTTTTTTTTTTTCTTCAGTTAACCAAAATATGTGTAAGAGTACTTACGGGTAACCCATTTTTACCAGGAACGCCCTAAAATAAAACATCTTTGTTAGAAAGGGAAATAAAACATTGTAACAAAGAAGCAATAAACAAGAAAAGCAATTAACTATAGCTTGTTGTGTCATGCAGTGACAAAATAATGAGAACTGTAACAAATACTACATCATACTGTGATTTTTTTTGCACCTCTGTTTAATTGGATTTATCTTGTGTTGATGGTTCAGAAGGATATGAAGTGGGAAACATCCTGGATATACAGAAGCCACTGAAGGAGGCATGTGAGTTCTGAAGTCCAGCAGCTTTGAACATGTTCAAATATAACAGCTGGGAAGGTAGCGCAGCACTGTAAAGGCTGCCTGAAGGGCTGGTAGAATTACTGCTCTAAGAATATTAGTATGTCGGCACATCATTTTTTTGCCTTGTGCTTTCTAATCATTGTCTCTCATCAAGCCCTTGTATAGCTGTTGGCACGTGCAAAGCAGATACAATGGTCCTGTGTTGATTTGGTGGGGCTAAAACCCCATCTTGTAGAAGTATGACTGGTACCAGTGTTTGAGACTGTGGAGTTTCAGCCCTTTATGCATGTCTGATGAATGACTATTACCCTTTCTAAAATATATGCATTCTTTCAATAGGCAGAAAATACTCACAGGCTGCCCATGTTGTCCAAGTTTCCCTGGAAGTCCAGAAGATCCTTGATCTTTTTTCTGCACATCTTCTACTCCTGGTCTTCCTGATGATTCTGTGGGCTCATCCTCTCCTTCCTGACCTTTCTGGCCCTGAGTAATCAAAATATGAAATATGAAAAATGTGTGGCATTACTTTCCCCATTTTTCTCTCTCTTTTTTCCCCTCTCTTCCCTTTCTCCTAGAACCTCTGCTTTGTTCAATGCAGTCAGAAACATGTTAGGCACCATACAAATAATACACTCCATTCAGCAAAGGCAGTCCATATTAGAAATTGTTCATGCAAGTACAAATAAATTGCTCACTGAGCTGGAAAAAAATGACAGCTGGTTGCCTAGATGCAAATGACCATGGTAACAAATGACCCAAGTAACAAGTGATAGGACAAGAGGTAATGGCCTCAAGTTGCATCATGGAAGATTTAGACTGGATATTAGGAAGCATTTCTTTACAGAAGGGGTTGTTGGGCATTGGAATGGGCTGCCCAGGGAGGTGGTGGAGTCCCCATCCCTGGAGGTGTTTAGGAGTCGGGTTGACATAGCGCTGAGGGATGTGGTGTAGTTGGGAACTGTCAGTGTTAGGTTAATGGTTGGACTGGATGATCTTCAAGGTCCTTTCCAACCTAGCTGATTCTGTGATTCTGTGATTCTATGGTCTAATTTCACACCTGCACAAAACTGCAGAGTCTAAATCAATAATGGGAGTTTGAAAAAGACCAATATTCCAAACACAGTCTGTCTGGAAGAAAATTTTGAAAGTTAAAGGAACATTTAGGATGTTCCTAGATGTTTAGGAACTCCTCTGAGATCTACAACTCTAAGAAAAGAGGGTTACATATCCAGCTTGGTTAAAAAGGAAAGTGACAGAAGATGAAACAAGGAAAGTGATAACAAAAAGGGAAAACAAGTAAGAGCAAAAAATTGCTAAACATCAGCCTCTGGGCAAGAGAAAGTAAGAAAAATTAAAAGAATAATTTAAATACATCAGAAACAAACCCTTTCAGTGGTGAAGCTCGGACACTAATACATATTTAAATTGCAGTGCAGTATACAGGAGGAAACATTTAAGTCATTTTTGTACCATATTTTGAAACAAGCACTAGGATTTACTCACATTTTATAGCAATAAGAAAATATTTTTTGTTCCCTTAGTAGCTAATGAAAGTGGTAGATAGATAGTAACTATCCAAGCATTTTAAAGTTAGAAGGATGACAGCTTTCATCAAAGGAGCTGTTAGCTGATTTTTTAAAGATCTTTCTGGTTTTATCACTAGGAAAGTTCCAAAAGATCAGAGATTTTTTCATCTGGTCTCATTACAGATTTTTTTCCCATCTGGAAAAGTGTTAGAAGAAAACCTAGTTAACTAAGCTGTAAGATCATGACCTGTGTGAGATAACAGGATTGTTGATACAGGTTGTTAAAGTACTGAAGGAATGAGCAATGTTATGGCAGGACCCCTCTCGATCATCTCCCAAAGGAAATCCACTGACAGGATGCATGGGAATGGTTTAAAGATGTGCCAGGGGAGGTTTAGACTTGACATTAGGAAGCATTTCTTTATTGAGGGTGGTTAAACCCTGTAACAGGTTTCCTAGAGAGGTGGTTGATGCCCCAAGCCTGTCAGTGTTTAAGAGTCATTCTGACAATGCCCTTATTAACATTCTTTAACTTGGTCAGCCTTGAATTGGTGTCACGTCCCACTCAGATGAGGGAGACAAGTGACTCAGGCTTTTATTCTTAGTTTCTCACAGGCCTGGTTTCTCATCTCTCACAACTGGTCAGGCAGTTGGACTAGGTGGTTGTTGTGGATCCCTTCCAATTGAAATATTCTACTCCTATTCTATTCTATTCTATTCTATTCTATTCTATTCTATTCTATTCTATTCTATTCTATTCTATTCTATTCTATTCTATTCTATTCTATTCCATTCCATTCCATTCCAAAATCAAAGGGTGAAGACAAAAAAAAATCTAAATCAGCATGTTTTTGTCTGACAAAGAGGTCCTAATTTTCTTTGTTATGTGTGCTTGCTAACAGTAACACTGTTGATCTGACTTTAGCAAGTTTTCCTGAGGGACATTCAACTGACTTCTATGCAACACTGAGAAAATATAATGCTGTGCCTAATCAGTGTCATCCATATTATTTGTATTACAAATGGCATAACTGGTACAATGGGGATCTTGTACAATGGTAAACTTACAAGAGATAGAGCCAATTCTACCATGTACTCACAAAGACCATTTTTCGATGTAGTAACAATTTTTCTTTACTATTATTTTCTAAAAGATTGTTCATTAGCATATTGTATAGCCATCTTTGCTACCTATCTAGTGACAAAGATGTGGAAATTGGCATAAATTCAGGAAAACCCCTGTAAAGATTAGTAAGTAGCAAAACTACTTGTCACAATAGATTTAAACATTTTTTTTCTCACACTACTTAAATCAAGATTGAATTTTTATTTAAGAAAAATGTCCCAAAACTGAAAAAATTAGATAGTAAGTACAATAGTTCATCCTGACATTAAAATTACTGCTTTTAAAAAATGTGAATACAGGCATGAAAATGTTAGAGGAATCATATCTGGAAGTTCTCCAACAAATATTAAAGCCTTTTTTATGTCAGCTCCAATGGCTGATCCTTAATGTACTGTTTCACCATTTGTGATAATTTACAAAAATAAACACAGAAACACTAGAAGACACCGTAAAGAGTTACCTGAGTTACCTTAAACTCTTGAATAAAAGACACAATGTAGAATAAAATTTCTGTCATTCTTGATGCTATATGTTTTCTGGCAAACAGAAGCAGTCATAACTGACTGCAATGTCAAGCAATACAAAGAATGGACTTTTGGCATAGGAGTTACAAAGGCAAGAGGAAGGAAAGATCATTATGTATTTTCTGTTTAGAAAAATCTGTAGTAGTTGTTGGACCAGGAACGTTAATTAATAAATAATGTACTGCTAGCCAGTTATTTAGAAATACATCAAAAAGTAGGGCAAGTATTTGAGTAGCTGGAGCCCTCCAGCTCACAGGATTCCAAACGAGGGGCATACATAATTTTAATTTGCAGAATCACACAAAATCCAGGTTACACATTAACTTACAAATACAAAAGGCACAGTATCTTTCAAAGCCCAGTATCTCACCGGAGTGGGTGACTTTGCTACATATGGCATAGTTACTGCCTTTGAGGTTTCTAGTGCCTGCAGTTGCGGACGCTCAAGTACTCTGCTTAGGAGATAAAAGGGCTCCCATTCTTCTTGGCACTGTGTGAACCTCAAAGTAGAGACAGGCTACAGCCTTGCATTTTCTCTTAATTTCCTTGTCTAGGAACCAAGCTCACAGGAAGGAGTCTACCCAAAAGGGCTATCTAATTTTATAAGGGATTTGAGAAAAAGTGAGTTTGAAAATGTGACTAGTCTCAATGCTTTGCTTGTAATTTATAGTTATTCCTGGTCCTGGCTGAAATGAATTGCCAATGAAATTACAGACCATCTTTGTCAGAGTTTCCTTTGTTCAGCAGTGTACAACTCACTTGATGGTGGCACACATACTTTCTAGAATCCCTTTTCCCATCAGGACATATCCTGAAAAGAATTCCTGCTTGGACACTTACAAGACAGCCTGACCAGGATTTTTGGAAGGCATCTCTGACAGGTGAAAGATGTCCAGATATCGCCTCTTCTAGAGTACCTTTTAAAAATGTGCTGGCAGCCCAGAGAGAAGCTAGGTATGACTGTAAACAACATTTATTCGTGTAAGTGCTCTGACACAGACATGAGTAATAGAAGGACCCCAAACAACTTCACTGACTTGCCTCAACTTTGGTCCTTTATAAGGCCGTCTAGGGTGGAAAGGTTGTTACTATTTTATTAGTTAGAACAGCTATTTAAAGTGAATGCCAGGAAAACTGATGGATAAATTTTTAATGGCTTTTTCATCTCTGGGTGTTAATGTACGCAGCTCTCAGAAAGCAACATACACTGCCTTCTTTAAGAAATATCTTGGAGTTGCAGACGCTTTTCCAGTGCAATCCATGCACCATTCCCTTGTCAAGACATAGAATATAGGATCAATCTCTTGGACAGTAATTCAAGTAGGATAGCGTTTATAAAGGGATAATTTGCATAAACTCTAAATTTTCAGATTAGTCTGTGAGCATCTAAGGAAAGCCAGCGTTACACATTTTAGTCATGGATTCCTCCAGAGTTTAGTGCATTTTAGTGTTAGCCTTCTGTTTTGGATCACCTGGTAATGAAGCACTGTGATAATGAAATGTTTCTTTGCACTTGGTACTTCACACAGAAGCACTTGGTGAGCACTCAAAGGGTGTAATTTTAAAACCGTTTATATGTAACACTTCTGAAAAGTGAGCAGGGCTTTCACCTGCAAGGCAGTTACTGTAAGTAAGGCCAAGACTTTGCTTTTAGGCAATAAAAATCGTGGGCTTTTATGATGAGGATTTACATTGGTTCTTTTCTTTGTTTCTCACTTTCTTAAATGCAAAATGAAAAAATGAAAACCTGAAAGAACAAATAATTTTGTCAGTCAAAAAATCTCTAGCCCATCTCAACTGTTATAGGTCCAAACTTCTGCAGTGTCAGTGCTTTTCATTTTGATGTCATGAGAAGACATTCAAGCGTTTAAAAAATAACTTCTGTTTTGGCACCTTGCTAAAATGGAATACATAAAGTTACTGACTCAGAAAAGCATGTAAAATGCTTCCTGCTCTTGGGACAAAAAGATAAGGCATATGATAAATCCATTGTACAGACCTTTCTGCTTACTGCTGGCAAAACATTAGCACCAGAACCATCTTCTTCTCTTAAGATTTCCTGTGTGACAGTGGTAGACTCACTGTTTCCTCGTCCAGTTGGGATGACACCTGAATCTGAATAAAACAATCACTTATTTATGAGAGACAAAGCAAAATAAAACCCACCCAGGGGTATTTAGCAGAGCAGATGCTGTAAGTTGTATGAAAAAAATAAATATTTTAGATTATGACTGAAATACATTCCAAAGATTCATATTAATCATTTTATAACTCTGAAAATTTTTAAAGAAAAGAATAAAAAGAGAAAAGTGAGAATAAAATTATAAAACAAATGTTTAAGGACAAATACTGTACTGCATCATCTTCTTTACCTCAAGCTCTAGTCTAATGGTTGCTTATTTTTCATCTATATAACATAAAAAATAAGAGGTATATACAACAGGTAGTATCTGAAGTATGTACAAAATTTAAACAGGAACATTATCTTTGGCCTTATTAAGATAACTAGCTTTATTTTCTGTTTATAGGAGTGCACTGAAATTGTCTTAATAGTGGAGGTCTGGGTTCCTTAGTGCATTATGCCCTACTCTTACTTTGTTGCCTACACTTGTATCCAAGACACCCCATTGGTGCACTAGGCAGATTCACATCCTTTGCAGGGAATATAAGCAGGATAGAGTTCTTTATTCAGTGGTGGTATTCAGCTTTACATAAAAGGCCGTGCTTCACTATAACAAAATGTCATCAAATTAAATACTCGTCTTAACTTCCTTTTAAATGTGTCACATGGCTTTAGAGCCAGTAGCACTACTTGCAGAGGTATGTCTCAGGAAGTGCCATGCTTCTTACTGATCTGAGCAGAATGAAGGGGATTTTTCCTCTTTCATTCCCTTTCCCAAACACTTGCACTTTACTGGAGTGTTGTAGAGTATCATAGCAGCAGCTCCTCAGGTCAGCTTCTTTGTTTTATCCAAATAATTTTTTTTTTTTTCCTTTTTAAAATATAAACTGCAGTTCTGTGACTGAAACTTTCACTTTATGGGTGTCTAAATCTATTCTCTGCATGTTTAACAATGACTGAAATAAGCACCTTTATGGAGTGAAAAGTGAGAGGTGTGTTGAGCAGTGGTTGTAGTTGCTACCTTTGCTGCTATTAACAAATTGCAGTCTAACAGACTGCAGTTTCAAAGACCAAATGTTTGATTAACAATTCTTTTCTAAAACACAGGATATCCAAAACCATTTTCACTCCTGGCAGTACCCCAATATTGCAGTGTCTTTTTGTACACAGGGAGATGACAGAATCAGACCTAAAAAGTATGACACACCCCCCCACCAAAAAAAAAAAAAAAAAAAAAAAAAAAAAAAAAGGCAGTGCCTTGTTCTTTAAGTTTAGATGCTTCAGAGGTTTCTTCTGATCTGTGATTTCCAGAGAAATCGTTTTCTTCCAAATAAGACAATATAGTTGGGGGGGCTTCCACTGGCTCAGCCAACGTATCTTCAGGCTAAAAAATAAATATAAAATCCCAAAGAACCGTTTAGATAAAAGGATTATCACATATTTTAAAACATGAATCAGTAGATTACCTTCCTCAAAGCATAGTAATCACACATTTATGAAGAAAAACAGAAATCCAGATCTTTCCTACTTAATATTTTGCCAGTATCTGTCCTTACACTTATGTTGCCCTTAGAAACATTAACTATCATTGCTATCATAAAACCTGAAATTTATTAATGGCCAATATATATACCCTCTTTCAAGTACATGTTTTTAATTTGTTTCACCTTGTATTTAATTTTTCCTCTTTACAGTATACATCTAGTTTCTCTTATCAGCAGATGTCACACTAAGTTGGTCAAACTCTTGAGAAACACTAGCACACCACCTTTGAACTCCATTCCTCCAAACCAAGTGATGTACACTTGACAAACCCATAGAGAGGGAGAAAGGCACAAGGAAAGCTGCAGGTCAAAGAGCCTAGAGCTGGCTGGTACCCATCCTTCCCCATGCTGACTCTGGGTGGGCAAGAGGTGGCATTTCAATAACCTGGTTTCAGCTGCATGCAGGAATGTAAAGAGCCTACTCCCTACTGGAATTAGAGACCTGAAGAAATTCTGTCTTAGTGTAGTGAGGAAACTACATCATGCAAACCTGGGTTTTCAATTTAAATAAAATTTATAAGTGATTATGTTGCCATAGTAACCTGGAGTAGAATTAATGGACCAAGCTTCCTGGTCTTGAACCAGGTTAAGATGTGCAAAATGGCATGATAGGGCTTGCTGAAAGACTTCCTGAGTTGTCAGCAAAAGGGAGAGAAGTAAACATCATTGGCATGATTTTTATTTCATTGGTTTTACATCTGTCTAACCAAATCTTGAAAACTTCTAAGGACAGAGATTTGATATCTTCTTTTGGTTACCTGTTCCAGTGCTGCACTATTATCCTATTGAAGAGAGCTTTCCTGAAATCCATCTTGAACATCCCCAGCTACAACTTGCAACTTTTGTTGTCTGTCACTACTGAGACAAGTCTGGTTCCATACTCATTTATGTCAATATGTATAAAAATGTGTGTGTCACTTCTGTAAAGACCGCAGAATAAACAATACAGGAAGTTTACTGAAAGGTAAAATCTGTCAGTGGATTTTATATTTAACTTTGAATGAAGAAACAGGGACAAATACAGAACACCAAATATTGATATGCCATCCAGAACATACTTTAGAATTCCCATGAAAAGAATTCAGAACTTCTTACATTTCTTGTGATCAGTGTGTGGATAATAAAAAATAGTTTAAGAATGGCAAAACTCATTTGCAACATTTACTCTCAGATTATTACATCTACTCTAAAGCCAAAAGAACAATCCACATCACTACAGACTGGTTAGTCTCATTCTGGTCTCTGGGAAAATCATGAGGCAAGTCCTCTTGCAACATGTTTCTAGGCACATGAAGGAGAAGAAGGTAACTAAGAACTATCAGCATGGATTTACCCAGGGTAAATTATGCCTGACAAGGCTGACTGCCTTATGTGATAAAATGACTGGATTTGTGGATGACAAGAAAACAGTGGATGTAATCCACTTTGATTTTAGCAAGGTTTCAAAACTGTCCTCCACTGTGTTCTTATACCCAACCTAGGACATTACAGTCTGGATGGCCTGACAAAGTCCCTCTGAAAAACATCTCTTCACTCCAGCATTCTATGGTCCTTGATTGTATTTTTATGATTGCTAGTTCATTAACATGTAAGGTTAATGAAAAAGATTGGTAGTATTGTTTCTGGAAAGAAAATCACACAAACCCAATACTGCAACACACATGAAATGGCTTGAACATTCGTGACCCAACAATGAAAATTGTTGGTCCCTACTTTTCCTTTCTGGCAGTGCCTTTCTGACATACAGAGTAGTTCAGGCTATATTTTTCTGAGAATCCCGATAGATAAGACATGCCAAGGGCAGTTTTTGGCTGAATAATCAATTAACAAGGGATCCACGGAAAAACTCTTTATGAAAAGACACCTTTTCTACAAATTTTAAACATGCCTTTTTTGTTGATTTACTGAACCTTTGCTGATTCACAAGGCCCATTAAATGGAAATATTCTGAAATAGTCCAAAGAATGCTATCCATTCCTACTGAACAGTACGGAACTACTTAGCAGAAAAACATAAAATAGAATTTACACGATCAACATTGCTAAGTGACTTTAATCAGAGACTGCATTCTCACGTATGACCTTTGACTTGTTTCATTCCAGCTCAGCATAGCAATTTCTTTCAAAGTGCTGATTTGGAGAGTTTGTTCAGTTATTTTTCAGAGTTAGAAAATAAATAATACTTTCTCAGAAACATCTGCCAGTGATTGTACTGATTGTTAAATTATCATTTGTTTCTCTGTCTCTTGTTTAATATTTCTAAAGAATAAACTCATTAAAACTCCATGGGTTGTCAGTCTGGAAGGTATGCAAATCCCATGAGTCATTTGCATTTAGACATTTCTAATTTGGCAGTAGTGTTAAACATTTTGCTAAAGGAGACTGCGTATTTATTGACATGCTGGTATGGCCTTTTGAAATCCCCAGGCATTTTTGGAAAAAAAAAAAAAAGTGTGCGATCCCAGGAAATACTTTCACATGAAGTTCTTGCATTTTGAAGAAAATAGTAATTTACTGGCCTTTCAGACTTATGATTAGTCGTCTCAGAAATCTATTTATCATCATCCATTCTGTGATTGTCTCATACAAAGAGTTACTGTAGTAGTAACTGGGACTGCACATAGACACAATGAAGATTGTTTCTACACAGTTCAAAAAACTGACAATCTGCCACCAAAGAAGTGTCTGTAGAACAGAAAAGAGCTATGAAGAGGCTTCTTTATTCCTTGTTTTCTAAGGGTGATAATCTGCCATATATACATATTAGCTTTATTAATACTGTGGTGTAGCACTTCAGAGAAAATTGTTTGCGTACTCAAAGCCTGATTCAGGTTACCAGACATTCTTAAAAACATTTTAACAAGAAAATTAAAATAGCATCAAAATATACACTAATTTGTGGAAAAATGGAAGTGAAAGTACTACAGCTGAATGGAAAAACGTTTGCAATGATATAATCATTGATGAACAAGTATGTCTTTGAGAGGCGCATCGGGAAAAGGTATACTTTGCCTCTTCATTTATGAGGCAACTTCATCATTACCAAATAAATTATATTCTGTAGTGCTGTGACATTTTTCCTTCTGGGCATTGATTCTAGCTTAATTATGACATTCAAGTTAACTGCAGGCAACTTCTAGGTCTTCTGAAGAAGGTGTGACATTGCTGTATTGCCTTGACATTGTCAGATCTTGAAATAATATTTTGGGACCCAAAACAGATCTTATATGTTTGGAAAATCAAAGGAAAATGTGACATTTTTACTCCCTGGGAGTGGCGCATAGTGATGAACAATAGCTATTACACTTTTATGTCACTGTTCATGTAAATCATAGATGTGTTACTAATTTTTTAGCAATGTAACAGTAATGATCATTAATATAGAAATGTTCTACCTTTCGTACTCTGCAACAGTGAATAATGCACTGAGATTATGTTGAGAAAGAACAATCTAGTGTGCTGGTTTGGGTTGGGATAGAGTTAACTTTCTTAATATTACGTAGTATGGTGCACAGAAAGGCACAAAATGTGAGGGAGAACACAATGCGACAGGAATCTCTAAAATCACAAATGGTACGGTGAGTAAGGAACAACCGTTTACTCTGTCTTCCAGCAACCACCAAATGAGAGCTGCAGCTAGCATGTTCAGAAGGGCAAGCACAAGGTGAAAGTCTGTCACAAAACATGGCATTAGACGAGTTAAGTAATCCTGCAGCAGGAAGCTAAAATTCCCATGGGTTGAAAAAACAAAACAAGAAATTCAAGGGTGAAAAATTCAGCTGAGGTCCACTAAACACAAACAGATACACTCTTGACTCAAGCATATCCTGAGATGGACATTGTTGCAGAGTAAAAGAATATTCCCAGTAAGTGTCATATTTATGTTCCTGATCTGTTACTATACTCTCCCCAAACTACTGGTTGCTGACTGCTGTCAAATATACCAGATTTTTGGTCTGGCACAGTGCAGTCATTCTTATGTATGGGTGCATGTTTTTGTCACAGTTGCCTTTGGAAGTTGCCACATATGAAAAACTGCAGGACCTCACTATCTAAATAAAGTAATACTAAATGAGAAATGTAAAGAAAATAAATAGATTTACCCTTATGGGAAGATGAGAAGGTGCAAGGGCTTCTTGTGTCTCAGAAATATCTTCATGTTCTTGAATGCTGCCATTGCCACTGATGTCCCCTGAAGCCTGTGCAAAACCCAATCATGACAGCAGGTTCATAAGAGTCAGGGGAAAAAAGATGATCTCCAAGGAACTGGCTATTTTAATGCAGAAAAAAAAAACTTTTTTTTTTTTTTTTCCTGTTGGTGTCATGATGATGTTATTTCAATACTTAGAGGATTTCATGAAAATGACCCTTCAGAAAAATCATAGTTCATATTCTCAAAGGTGTTATAGACAAAAGAAAATGATGGGTTTTGAAAAATTACAGTTTTAGGGGCTCTGTAGTCAAAAAAAGAGATTCCCCCATGCAGATAGTTTCAAGTATGATACTGTGTTCCCAAAAAGTAATACTACATTTAGTCTTATGAAAAATGTGTAATGGCAAATGACTTTGACTGAGGCACTGAGGATAGATAAAGAAGTGTTTATAAGAATACTCACATAAGGATCATCATCTTCACAATGATCTTCAGTAGCCCTCGGGTCAGATTTGATTGTCAGATGTTGAATTGAGCCCTATATGAAACAACAAAAACACTTCAAGGAAGTAATATTTTTTTAAAATTAAACAAATTACAAATTTGTTTTGGAATTAAACAAATGAACAAAAAACCCCAGACTTTGTTCTGATTTGCTTGGAAAATAATCTGAAGCATCAAATTTTATGATAATAAACACAGTTTAAAAATGTAAATATGTTCCTACGTCTTCCTTTTGCAAAATGTAGAAAAAAATGAAGTTGCCATAATAAAATAACCATCATGTCCCAATGATAATACAATTGCTACACTGTATTCTTAGTGCCCCAACTAAAGGATCTAGTCCTAGATTGTGTCCTAGTGTCTGCAAAGCACTGTCTACTTTTTCTAGTTAAGAAGTGCAATGCAGCTCCAAAAATGGCATGTGAAAACTACCAAAACTGAAGACAAAGGATGGGAAGGAAATACCAGTAAGTGATGAAGTGGGCCAGGGAGAAACTAGCTTAAAACTTTTCAAAGCAGAAAGAAATGAGATGGGTTTTCTGATAACAAATGTTTCTTATTTTCAAAGTTACAAATTTTATTTCTCAGTCTGACATGCTGAAAGAGCAGCAACAATTTCATTTTAAAGAATTAAGTCTTTCTTAGATTACACAGTCTCAAAGTGTTTAAAGAAACACTTGAGGGATGTTTCCTCGTTATGAGGTCTCACAGAGTTAGGCACAATGCACATGTAGGACAAAAAGATGGTTATTCAAATGAAGAGCCATCCTACCTAACACACATGACCTGCCTCCTCCTGGTTTTGCTGACAGTCTATTTTGCTTTGGTTTTGGATTTTATGTAGAGAAAAGCCTGAAGAACCTGCCAGATTTATTCTTTATTTCTAGATAGACACAGAATACTTCTCAGTCCAATGCCTTTTCAAGGAGTTAGAACGTTTATACCATGAAAAGTTCTTAGTTGAGCTCTGTCTGCTGAGTATTACCACAGACACAGAGCAGATCCACTCACTCAGGGGTATAGAAAGCCTGGGTCTTGGTAAGGAAAAATGCAACAACTGTTGAGATAAGAAAAGTAGTATGCTTTGCTGCTACTTAATGCCACCCAAAAATGCAAACTCCACGGGAGGAATAGCTACCATTTATATACACTGCTATGTCTGATTTTCTGCCCATTTTTTCCTTTCTGCAGCAGTCTTATCTCCCTGTCCTAGAAGCACAAGGGAATTATAGGCAAGGAGGTACTTTTGAAGCAATATTTCTGGTGGCTTCTAGAATATTTCAGAAAGAAACAAAATCTGAGATTCTATCTTCGATGAGTCTCTAATTTCTGTACCTTCAGAAATGATGAAACTCATGCAGTTGGTGCCTCCTGAGTTTGCAGGCAATCTGAGGTAAGAGCTAAGTGAACAGAACCATCCTATTTCTCTCAAAACTTAATAATGGGCAACTCAGATATTGAACAATGTCAGACAAACTTGAACAGTTCACTGAAAAATCATACATGAAAGGAGACACAACCAGACACTTAGGCACTCTCTTGGAAGTGATGCTTTTTTTTTCATAGTAGGAGTGAATCCCATTTGGAGAACACTTTTTTTTTTCCTCTTGCTCTAATCTGTGTCCTTAGATGGTGAAGGAAGCAAAATGGAGAGCCCTAATGTTTCCCAGGTGTAGCTGCCACCCAGTTACTCCAACCAGAAAAGTCATGGCCAAGTCTGCCACAGCAGGGACAGTAGGTAAGAGGTATTATAATCCCCCTCCGGGTCTTGTGCTTGCTCCTGCCTTCCCTGTTATAGCTGGTTTGCAGAATCTGGCACCGCCACTGATTCAGCTATATTTGGTTGTTGTCTGGTTTCTACTTTTCTTTACAAGCACCAAGGCTAGAACTTCCTTTTGTTTCCATAAAATCTGAATATAGTTATGTCCTTTTGTGTCTGGCAACCAGAGTCTTAGGCACACAAATTCCCATTAGCCAGAGCAAACCAGCAACTGACATCCATTCAGAGTCATTTGCACAATCTGCCATGAATTGTTTCTATTTTGGGCAAACAATGTAAACAGTTCTTGTCATAAAAACAGATCTTGAGGAGGAATCAACCATTTAGTTTTTCTATCCAAAAGCAGTTGTGACATATGATTCATGAAGAAATAAAGGCACAAGACCTAGAGTATACATCACAATTAATGGTAGGGAGGCAATCACAATATCGGGTGAAGTATATGTGCTCGATATAGCATACAGATCAGCCTGTTTCAGTGGAAATGCCTTAGAGTGTAATCCACCATGCATTCCTGTAACCGTATTTACAGATTTATTGGTGATAATCTCGATAATTGATCATCACATACATGCTTTCCAAGTGGGGTACAAAAGTGGTCTAATTTTCTTGAAAGCTTCTAATTCTTACTTACTAATCAGGCATCCACAATACTCCAGTCATCCCATCTGTCTAAGAAAGGTAGTGCCAGCAGGCAGCTTTGCTATATATCCCTTTCCACTACTTATTTGTTATTAATCAATATATTCCTGTAATCCTAGGTGCTTAGACTAGTCAGATAAATGATAAAAGTACACTATCCTTGCTGCTTACCAGATGGAGCTCACAGCCTGCCAGTACATCTGAACTTGGAAAGAATCTCTCTTTTCTCTAAAGCAAAGGATCCACTCAGTTTTGTGCTGCTGCTTCACTAATTTAGGAGAAGGGATATTAGTCTCACAGAATACTGTACTAATTTTGAAGTACAAGGGAAGTACAAAAGCAAGACAGAAAAAGGGTGACATTTCCCTTTCAGTTTGACAATTAGTCAATCTCACGCATATTGACAGCTTTCACATTTCCATTTGGAAGCTCAGGGGCTGAGAATTCCAGTCAGGAAGGGTGCTTGCACTCAATCTAGGAAGGCTTGGGAACCTTGTAGTAGTGATTTTGGTCCATTCTATTTTTCTAAAACACCTGATAAGCTTCAAGTAATATATAAACTGTAGAAATACTGCTTTATCTTCCAACTATCTTTATCTTTGATGTGATCATTCTCTTCCCTATGTCGAATGTGAAGTAAACATACCTAGCTAATAAAGAGTTTAAAATATTGACTTTCTATTAAGGTATTTTCAGAAGTTAAACAAATGGATAGTCTGAAATCAGCCCTTCATACAAAGGCCATATAAAGTTATGTGATATATTTACTCTGAAATTCCTAGTATTCAAACTGAGCGTTGAGATTAATATCTGGACCATTAATAAAATTCTGAGATTCCAGGGACATCTGCATTTTAAGCCATAATTTATATATCTGCACTGCCTGAACCCTAGCCAAGTATGGAAAACGCAAGCTATATCATTTGTAACCTCATTTGGGATATAACCATTGTAAGCAGACTTTCTTGGATGGAGAGTACATGCATAAAACACTGAGACATGTGAATTTATCAGACAGTACTTACTGTGAACTTTTCCAACCCTGTGGCTCCTGCATTACCAACAAATATCCCAGAGCCAGATTCAAATACCAAGGCTTGATCTGACCTTTGAAACTGAATTCTCTGATATTCTTCACAATCCATGAACAAAGCAATATCATTTCCCTGAACAGTCACTGTAAACCTATTCCACCTGTTAGTCATCACTGGCACTTTGAATGAAGCAGCCTCTCGGGAGATATGGGAACCAGGCTCCGTGTAGTACATAATTATTCTCTGGGTGCTGTCATCAACTGGTGACAGTCTCATTCCCAGGTAAATAGTTTTCTGGAAGGCATCTGTTATTGCAAATAGCACTCCTCCATGATCACTGTTGGGTTTCACTGTAACTACGATAGCAAAATCTCTGTAGAAAGGCAAAGGTATTATAGCACTTGTCAATCGACCGATGTTAGCATCTGGACCAAAGCTGTAAGCTGGAAACCCTCCATAGCCGGTGACAAAGTAGACGGAAGGAGGAAGAGGAACTCCTATTAACTCCGTGAGATCAAGATGTCCTTTTGAGCCCCGTTCTGTAAAGTGTGTGAGAAAAAACATGTTATTTATTATCGAGGTGCACAGCCCATTTAAATTAAATGTTTTAAGAAAGCCCTTTCTTAATGGTAAAAAAAATGGTAATGCAGTGTTATAATACCAGTGAGATACTTCTAATACTTTAGGCTTCAGTTCAGCTAGTGCTTAAACACATTCAGTACACCTGCTGTTCTTTCTCCTTTGACTAACTGAGGTTACTCGTATACTAAAGGAAAGCACATATAAACATTTGGTAAAACTGAGTGGTAACGAGTAGTTCCTGCAACATAAATTTTACTCCAGCTGTCCATGAAGTACAAAGAGAAGTGCTGAATGTGCTTGCAGAGTGGATTCAGTGAAGATCGAGCAACCTTTTTTTTCCTCAAATAAACTAAGATCCTTTATCCTCACAAACAAAGATGATGACAAGAGCTCTCTAGAAATAGTATGACACAGTTTCACAAATACAGGATAAAAATTACAGTGGACTTGCTTTAGCTCTTGCAGTTACCTATAATACAACAGATGTTAGACTTTATTTATGCCCCTATTCTCAGATTTATCTCCTCAGTTGCACTTTGTATGTAATAAATACTATTCAGCAATCAAAATTTAGTTTTGAAATGAGAGTATTTTTGCTTTGGCAAACACACAGAATTAAGTATCTGCCAAACATGCCCAGAGAGACAACTCCTTCCTGGCAAAGAAGAAGCAATGACAACAGCTAAGTATCGACACACAATTTTAAGTAGAGCCTTGGGAAGGCATAATCTAGCAGCATACCAGAAACAGAACTTCTACCATTTTCCTCCTTCTAAGAAGTAAAAACAAGCAAATAAAGATACCATTTTGAATCATAATGAGCAATTCAGATCTGAATCTATATAGAGCTCTACTCAGATCTAAAGCATTTCTTCCCTTTGCAGTCTCCTCTAACTGTACCTTATTAAGTTTTTAATTTTATCTGAAAGTCTCAGTTCTTCTTACTGGTATACATTTTCACCCCTTTGAGAATATTTATGTTATACAGAAGCAAACGAAGTGCTAGGGTATGTCTTAATGTAGTTACATCATGTAAAACCATAATCACTCGGTAAACTCCAGTTCATGACTAAGTAATTGCTGGCTTTCTCAGCAGACATGAAAAAAGATCCCCATGATCCAAGAAGTACAGATTTTTAAATCACATTCTTGATCAAATGTATCCTAGCCTCTCTCTTCTTCTTTGCTGAAAATCTTCAGATCCTGGGTAAAAGAGTGGATGTATTTGGAACCACTCTTTTGCAGTTCATTTTTTTATCTACCTCATGCATCAGTATATTGTGGTTCTCAGACTAATTACATCAGATAAAAAAGTAGCATGGAAAACAGAAGTCTTGAAGTAGAACAGAACAGATGAGGCAAACAATCCTGAAACCTCACTAAGAGTAGATTGAATTTGTATCTCATACTTCACTTTTGCCCTTCTACCACAGCAGGTGTAAATAACATGTCTGTATCTGTGGTGGTGAGGTACTTCTTTGTACCTACACAGCCTGGGATCCACTAGGGCTGCCACTGCTAGTATTCCCAATGCTTTTCCTTGTGATGACATCTCTGCATCAGGAAAGTTCCTTAAGATGATGTCCCCAGACAGCATTATGCAAAGGTAGCTTGCTCAATGGTCACTTAATTTTCAACACAGCATGGGGAGAACTGATACCATCTATGGTAGTCTAACCCTGCAGACATTTACAGGGGACAGGAGCTAAAACCAGCCTTTCTTATAAATGCATGAGGGACAAGAGATACGAGTCAGTCCCCAGATCCGTTTTTTTGGAAAAGTACTTAGAGAAGCCAAGAACAAACTCCCAGTCTGCTTACCGCTGAAGGTAAGCAGGGATGAGACAAATGGAGCTGGCTCCTAGCTCAGCCTACTTGTCAAGGACCAAGTCATCCCTAGATTCTGATACGTTTCACCCTGAAATGACTTGTGTTTTACCAGCAGTCCATACACTCTGGTCATGGATCAACTGAGGTTCCCTGGTTGCATACTGGTTTTATATGTGATGTACACATGTAAATACAGACAACTTTTGCTTCAAAACTTGTAACATCTGGTTTCCTAGGATCCGTTCCCTGCATCATCATTTTCATTTCAGGTCAGTACATCCTGCCAACCTGGACTATCTCAACTTCTTCCTCATGTGCACAGGGCCTATATCTGCTTCCCATAACTTTAGCACTCCTACATCCCTCCCCTACCCCAGTATGTGCTAAAGGATGGTTCCAAGCTGCATATGTTTGTATTAGCTGGCCCGTTCAGGCATGATAATTAGCCATCTAGAAGGAGAAACTGAATAATTAACCTCACAGCTCTCACCATAGCCTTTTCTCATTAAGATACTAATGTGCCACTCCCACATCATGAGGCTGAGGTTTTTCAAGGCTGGGGGCCCATTAGGAGAGTTCTCTGTTACAGGGAATATAATGGGATGAAATTGAACTAAGAAAAGAAGAAAATGATCCCAATATAAGAAAAATTGTACTGACAATGTAATCTCTGCTGCAGTCTAATCCCTCAAGGGAGACAGTGACCTTCCCCCATGCTGGTGATTTGAAACAAAAGTGTAGAAAACAATTAAAAATGACCGTAGGGAATAATTTCAAAGTTATTGGTTATAACATGACTTTAAATCTTTATTCCGTGTTTTGCAAGCATTCCCAAGTCCTTCGTAATGTATAGATTTGTGCAGTGTGAGATGATAAAGTATCTTTCAATTTTTAAATGTACTCAGTTACCTTAACTGCAATAGCTATAGAGGCTGAATAAATCCAAATGAAATAGAAATGACAGTCCATCTGAATACTGCAAACAAAGTCAACGGAAAAACTTCAATTAAAATACCTGATTAAAATCAGGCAAAATAAACAAATCTTCCACTTTGCTCTGAAACCTGGCAAGCTGCTTTTTATGAAGAGCTAGAGGGAGGTTCTTCAGCTGAAATACACTTCTGTTATTCATATGCAGTACCATCCTGGGCTATGTGTTGCAAAGTGTTTCCATCGTCCTGGTGGCTTTGCAAACAAATGGCAAAATGTTCTTCATGTGCCAAGATGTTATAGCCCAGTTGAAATAAATTCTACCATATTCTCTGTATTTACTTTTGGCACTTACTTGCTAAGGGAACTCATTAACTGGAAAAAGTCTGATGTGCTCCATACAGACAATTTCCCTTACATATTTTTAGGAAGTATATAAGCTATGTTTAGAAACACAAAAACTAGCTTCTTATCCAGAAATTATTTCCCTTAGGCACTTTAAAATGCTTTGCCTGATAGATTTTGCCTCTTTCTAATAGTTTGAAAAGTGGACGTTTTCTTCTGGCCAAAGTTAATGATTTATTCATTGTGAATCTAATATTGAGTCATGCTTTGTATTCACACTTACATACACACACATAAAGGAACCTCAGCTACAAATAAAATGCATAAGCCATTACTCAAGAGTAAAAAGGTAAGTAAAATAGTAAGCTTGAAGGAGAATATAGGACCTGTACACAGATACCAAGCCTACTTCCAAAGAGCCATGAGAAAAGTGACCTAGAAAGCAGATAGAGAATATCTAAGGTGGCCAGAAATCAACTTAGCAGACTTGGATAGCAGGATGCATCCCAGAAGCAAATCTAATGAATAGAACTGTAGATTTCCACTTCCATTCTCAAAGGAAGATTTGACAACTGCAAAAAGCCTGTTAATTCTCCCCACACAGCATGTGGAGCTGCAGTTCCCTAGCCACATACCAAACAGGAACATACAGAGCCCAAAACATTTGCTCTTTTAGCATAGGCTCTGGGACAAGTGAAACATATTTTCAAAAGGTGGCAGCAGAAGACAGTAAAGAAGAATCAGGATATTCTTTGTAAAACAAGTCAGAAGCTCAGCAATTATCTGAACTTCAGTGAGACTGAGGTAGGAGCTTGCACCTATTGACTATAGAAAAGCAAAACAAGAAGCTTCTAGCCAAATACTGTACTTACAGCTCATCCCCATCTCTTAATGGATTTATCAGGACCTACAGGTACTCTTAAGAGCAGAATAAACTCATAGCCACAGGTTTTGTTCCCATTCAATTATCTCTGATAAATTCATGTCCCCCTGCTGCAGTTATGTTAGGATAAAAATGCCCTCTTATTCCCTTAAATCAAAAGGTAAACGCTATGCTATTTTAAGTACCTTTAAGCCAGCAGAGCACTATGTTTCACCAGTATAATTTTGTTTCAAACATGTACTGTTACTAAGCCACTGAATATTGGGGAGCATCTAGAATTCAATCCTGTTTACGTCCATGTTTCCTAGAACTGGGGCACTTGAAGGTGTGGTACAGAAGCAGCTTTAATATTAGCTGTATTTTGTCTCAAAGAAGAAAGTAGTAGAATACCATAAATTGGGATGCTACTTTTATAATTCTAGAGTTATGAACTGTGCTATTCTTTGCATTTGTTACCATTCATGACCATATATTATAGTTAGAATTCTTACAGATTTTGCAGATAGCTGTAGATTCCTACTGAGTAGCTTCAGGGACCAGTTGAGAATTAGCTGTGTGTTGTAAAATTCATCCTATAAATCGATACATGGATTGTTTCAAGACTGCAAATGACAATAGTAGAGTTTTCTTCTTCTTTTAATTATTTTTTTTTTCCATGTAATTATCTCACTGCTTCACTACTTAAAATAGTGTAACTGTAACAACAGAAAACCACCATTTTGGCATTGGAAGATACCTGGTTTGCCTATAGCGTCTTTAGCATAGCCATCAATAACAGTGGAAGATCATGAAGCTCAAAATGGGCTGGAAAAAAAGGCAAAGCTATTTAGAAACAGATAGGAGGAGAAGGGTTTACTCATTAGACAGAAAAGGAGACCAGAAAGAAACATAATGTTGACAGCATAAGGGCAGCAGTTGGAGAAGTTCCTAAAAACAGAGTTACTGTTATTTGTGGGATCCATTTCAAAA